CTTTCAGCTACACTGCAGCTGAATAATTCAGGCCGGTGGCAGAACGGGAGATGGACAGCCTGCAGGAGCTGCACTCACATGATAAGGAGATTAGTTGTTGTTCTGTCAGGTTCTGGTCCAGCCGGTCCTCAGGACCAACACCACTGCACTCCTGTAGATTAAAATGGTGATTCTGAAAGAGAGCTTCAGAGCACAGACGCTCTCATTATATTCTTTAACCAAACCAGAGCTAATGAGAACAGTGAAGCAATAAAAAGGATGCTTTTCCATCTAAGTGTCTCGTGTTTATTTTAGTACATTTGACTGTTATTAGTTTTTATATGCCATTCTCCGTGTAATGCTAATCTGTTTCATTTACATTATTTTTTAAATTCATTTTTAATAGGGGGCCTTTATGAGCCCTTTTCTAAATTCATCAATGAATTCTGTTTTTGTTACCTGAAAATAAAATATACTCTAACGCTTGGTGGATATTTATATATTAATATATTTGTGTGCTAATTGTTCCGTTGTTAAAGTTCTACTTGATAGAAAGTGGCATCAGATGCTGTACTGACATACTTTCATATTTATTCATATGAAAGTAAAGTTGAACATAACTGAATTAAAAACACATTCATACACTTAAATAATGTGATACTAAATTAATCAATTGATCAGTCCCTGCTCTGCTGGCGTTATACTGTGGAATTAGTACTGCTTAGTATGTTAAAATGTAAAATGTGTGGGTCCATATATTGTATGTAAACATACTGAATATAGTCTATTATTTAATAAGTTGTTATATGGTCATATATCACAATATTACGTGGTTTTATGAATGAGGTATATCAAATAAACAAAGTTTTTTCAGTTTATTTTTTTCTCACAACGTCCTTAACGATAAGTGTATGGAAGCCAATTTCCGCCGTGATGAAACTTTGACTTATCATGTCAAAATAATGACTTAATATCTCTATGACTATAAGCTATTATTTAGGGATGCTAAGGCCCCATCTACACCACTCTGTTTTAGTTTAAAAACGGAGTTTTAAAACGAATACGATCTCTGTCCACACCAGCGTTTTAGCTACGTATCAGAGTTCAGAGATCAGAGATCTCCGTCTATATTAAAATGACCAAACGCACATCTAGTGGCCTTTCACGAAAAACGGGGGCCGGCAGCGTTTCCAAACTTCTCCATTTTAGGTCTTCGTTTTCGCTGTTTTAGTCTGGATGGGATAAACAAACATAGCAAAAGGTCTCCATTTTAAAACCCAAACGCAGTATTGTGGACGGGGCTTAAGCCATTATTTTGAGATTCTAGTGGTGTCATTATGTTGACTTACAGGATCTTTTTTTTTCATCACAGTGGGAGAAATGGGCTTCCATAGAAATAATATCTACAAAAAATTATACATATATGTTAAATATATAGGCTACGTGTGTGTGCTTAGTTAATGTACCTGCCAAACTAAAAGCCAATTGGCTCCATGACTCTGCTTGACTCCGCTCATCAGCGGCATCTCTGAGAGATAAACCAAGCCCACCATTACATTTAAATGCTTCTAACTCATTATTTTGAGATGTTAAGTCATTATTTTGAGAAGCCATGTCACAATTTTTGGATATTAACTTAGCATTTTGAGAGGCTAAGTCATTATTTCGTGACTGCTTGACTCCACTCATTGGCAGCGCCTCTGAGAGATAAATCAAGCGCACCATTACATTTAAAGGATTCTCTCTTTTTTTGAGATAGTAAGTCATTATGTTGAGATGATAAGTTAGAGATGCTAAGTTGTCATCTAGAGATACTAACTCATTATTTTGAAATACTATAAGTCATCATTTAGAGATGCTAGGTTAATATTTAGAGATACAATCTCAATATTTAGTGGCAGAAATGGGCTTCCATAGATATAGGATCTCTTTATAATTATATTTATAATATATGGGCTATATGTGGTGTGACTCTGCTCGATTCCACTCATCGGGGGTGTCTCTGAGTGATAAACCAAGCGCACCATAACATTTAAACGCTTCTCTCTTTTATTTGAGAAAGTAAGTCATTATTTAGAGACAGTAGGTCATTATTTTGATAAAGTTTCTCATAATAATGACTTAAAGGATCTTTTTTCATCACTGTGGCAGAAATGGGCCTCCATAGGATAGGACCTTTTAAAAATTATGCATATAATATTTATGCTGTTTGTGTTTGTGACTCTGCTTGACTCCACCACTCGTAGGCGGCGTCTCTGAGAGATAAACCAAGCGCACCATAACATTTAAACTCTTCTCTCTTTTATTTAGAGATGCTAAGTTAATATTTAGAGATGCTAAATCATTAGAGACAGTAGGTCATTATTTTGAGAAAGTTTCTCATAATAATGACTTAGAAGATCTTTTTTCATCACTGTGGCAGAAATGGGCCTCGATAGGATAGGACCTTTTAAAAATTATGCATATAATATTTATGCTGTATGTGTGTGTGACTCTGCTTGACTCCACCACTCGTAGGCGGCGTCTCTGAGAGATAAACCAAGCGCACCATAACATTTAAACGCTTCTCTCTTTTATTTGCAAAGGTAAGTCATTATTTAGAGACAGAAGGTCATTATTTTGAGAAAGTTTCTCATAATAATGACTTAGAAGATCTTTTTTCATCACTTTGGCAGAAATGGGCCTCCATAGGATAGGACCTTTTAAAAATTATACATATAATATTTATGCTGTATGTGTGTGTGACTCTGCTTGACTCCACCACTCGTAGGCGGCGTCTCTGAGAGATAAACCAAGCGCACCATAAGATTTAAACGCTTCTCTCTTTTATTTGAGAAAGTAAGTCATTATTTAGAGACAGAAGGTCATTATTTTGAGAAAGTTTCTTATTATAATGACTTAGAGGATCTTTTTCATCACTTTGGCAGAAATGGGCCTCCATAGGATAGGACCTTTTTAAAAGTTATACATATAATATTTATACTGTATGTGTGTGTGACTCTGCTTGACTCCACCACTCGTAGGCGGCGTCTCTGAGAGATAAACCAAGCGCACCATAACATTTAAACACTTCTCTCTTTTATTTGCAAAGGTAAGTCATTATTTAGAGATGCTAAATCATTAGAGACAGTAGGTCATTATTTTGAGAAAGTTTCTCATAATAATGACTTAGAAGATCTTTTTTCATCACTGTGGCAGAAATGGGCCTCCATAGGATAGGACCTTTTAAAAGTTATACATGTAATATTTATGCTGTATGTGTGTGTGACTCTGCTTGACTCCACCACTCGTAGGCGGCGTCTCTGAGAGATAAACCAAGCGCACCATAACATTTAAACGCTTCTCTCTTTTATTTGCGAAAGTAAGTCATTATTTAGAGACAGTAGGTCATTATTTTGATAAAGTTTCTCATAATAATGACTTAGAGGATCTTTTTTCATCACTGTGGCAGAAATGGGCCTCCATAGGATAGGACCTTTTAAAAGTTATACATGTAATATTTATGCTGTATGTGTGTGTGACTCTGCTTGACTCCACCACTCGTAGGCGGCGTCTCTGAGAGATAAACCAAGCGCACCATAACATTTAAACGCTTCTCTCTTTTATTTGCGAAAGTAAGTCATTATTTAGAGACAGTAGGTCATTATTTTGATAAAGTTTCTCATAATAATGACTTAGAGGATCTTTTTTCATCACTGTGGCAGAAATGGGCCTCCATAGAATAGGAACTTTTAAAAATTATGCATATAATATTTATGCTGTATGTGTGTGACTGTGCTTGACTCCACCACTCGTAGGCGGCGTCTCTGAGAGATAAACCAAGCGCACCATAAGATTTAAACGCTTCTCTCTTTTATTTGAGAAAGTAAGTCATTATTTAGAGACAGAAGGTCATTATTTTGAGAAAGTTTCTTATTATAATGACTTAGAGGATCTTTTTTCATCACTGTGGCAGAAATGGGCCTCCATAGGATAGGACCTTTTAAAAGTTATACATATAATATTTATACTGTATGTGTGTGTGACTCTGCTTGACTCCACCACTCGTAGGCGGCGTCTCTGAGAGATAAACCAAGCGCACCATAACATTTAAACACTTCTCTCTTTTATTTGCAAAGGTAAGTCATTATTTAGAGATGCTAAATCATTAGAGACAGTAGGTCATTATTTTGAGAAAGTTTCTCATAATAATGACTTAGAAGATCTTTTTTCATCACTGTGGCAGAAATGGGCCTCCATAGGATAGGACCTTTTAAAAGTTATACATGTAATATTTATGCTGTATGTGTGTGACTCTGCTTGACTCCACCACTCGTAGGCGGCGTCTCTGAGAGATAAACCAAGCGCACCATAACATTTAAACGCTTCTCTCTTTTATTTGCGAAAGTAAGTCATTATTTAGAGACAGCAGGTCATTATTTTGAGAAAGTTTCTTATTATAATGACTTAGAGGATCTTTTTTCATCACTGTGGCAGAAATGGGCCTCCATAGGATAGGAACTTTTAAAAATTATACATATAATATTTATGCTGTATGTGTGTGTGACTCTGCTTGACTCCACCACTCGTAGGCGGCGTCTCTGTGAGTGATAAACCAAGCGCACCATAACATTTAAACGCTTCTCTCTTTTATTTGCGAAAGTAAGTCATTATTTAGAGATGCTAAGTCATTATTTAGAGATGCTAAGTCATTAGAGACAGTAGGTCATTATTTTGAGAAAGTTTCTTATTATAATGACTTAGAGGATCTTTTTTCATCACTGTGTCAGAAATGGGCCTCCATAGGATAGGACCTTTTAAAAATTATGCATATAATATTTATGCTGTATGTGTGTGTGTGTGTGTGTGTGTGTGTGACTCTGCTTGACTCCACCTCTCGTAGGCGGCGTCTCTGTGAGTTAAACCAAGCGCACCGTTACATTTAAACGCTTCTTTCGCGACAGCCAATCAGCGCCGGCTCTGAGTGCTCTCTCGCTCCGCAGCCGGCCAATCAGGAGCGCCCTCCGCTTTGTTGTTGGTGGTGACATGAAAACATTGTTGTTGCTGCTGGAGGCTGCGGAGGCAGGCAGGGTGGACTGGGTCTGAAGCTCCAGCGGTGTCCGTCGAAGTGAACACTGTACATTTATTTTGTTGTTTTTGACTTTGAGGAGAAGCTGCTGGTCGCGCGGGAAGCGGTCATGTCGGTGAACATGGACGAGCTGAGACACCAAGTCATGATCAACCAGTTTGTTTTGACGGCTGGCTGCGCCGCGGATCAGGCGAAGCAGCTCCTACAAGCGGCCCACTGGCAGTTTGAGGTGAGCGCGACATTTATCCCGTCTCAACAACGTCCTCCTCTGGGTTACTTGTTAGTCACCGCCCCCCTGGCTGTATATACGAGCTTTAACGTTTTAAATTAATCCCCGTTGGTGGTTTATTTAGTGCGTTTAGCGTCCTGCGCCGCCACCACGCGCTCCTGTAGCTAAGCTAAGCTAGCTGCGGACGTGGTGCTGCTCTCAATGCTCCGTTTTTTTTTTGTTTACATTCTCGAGAGGATTCAAGTGTGTCAACGCTGAGCTAGTTGTTGTTAGCCTAACTAGAGGACAGGACAGAACAGCCTTTTGTGTAACATAAAAACACCACGCTCGGTCAAGCATTGTTTTATAGTTTGTCATCGTGAAAAAAAACAACAACAAACAAACAAACAAACACGTTTATCTCGAAATCATCTGATGCCATCTTGTGAGGCGAGGCCCCGGCTGATAACGTGTCCTCGTGTCCACATAACAATAACACCCGCGTCCATTTACTCAACACATTATAAACTACAGGTTTGGCTTGTTTGTTTAGCTCAGATCGTCACGTCTGAAGCACGCAGGGTGGAAACACTCCCATAATCACGTTTCCTGCATGAATGGAAGGACTGTTTTTAGTTTTTGGATAATCTTACAAGAGGAGATTTGAGGTCGGAGTCGATGTACTTGGAGCTAAGTGGTCTGACATTGATCCTGGTCCTGTTCAGTTATGTATTTATAGACTTAATTAAGATGCATCACCCGTCCAGCTGTTCGCCTTCCTGTGTTGTTGTTATTAAAACTGATTAGATGATTAATCTGTTTCCAGCTTCTCCAGCATGAGGATTTTTCTACTTTTTTAAAAAATTTAATTAAATTTTTATTTATTTCTTTATTCAACCTTGATTTACAATTTTTTCCCACGGGATTTTTGTGAGTCTGTGGTACATTTTTAAAGTAAAATGCATTAATTTGGTGCACTTTGACAGCAAAATTAAGAGGCTAGATCTATGAAGAACTTTGCGGTCTTAAACACATTCTCTAGATATAAATTGTGGTAGAACAGCAAACATGTCAACACATAATGGTTTTCCAGCAACACAAAATCAAGGAATAATTTAATTTCCTAACAGTTTAGTGGGTTTTTTTGTTTGTTTCTTTACTCTTTATGGGGTTAGCGATGGTGCAGTGTAGGAGACACATGCCTCTGGGTTCAGTTCCCTTTGTGGCATCCAACCAATGTGTCCAAGGGTAAGACACTTAACCCCTAGTTGCTCCAGAGGCGTGCGACCTCTGACATATATTGCAATTGTAAGTCGCTTTGGATAAAAGCGTCAGCTAAATGAATAATTATTAATTATTTAATGGATATGTGTAACATGTTTTATACTTTCTCTGAATAAAATCCAATTAATCTTATTTCCATATTATAAATACATTATGTTAACATCTTATTTTGAAAACTGGTCTCATGTCTTCACCAAGACTGCAACACTTCTCTTTGTAAAAAGAGAAAATGACAGAATAAAGTCTCTAACATGCCTGTCGGCTCTGTGACCTTTCATTTACCGTAAAGGCTCGAATACGCGTGCACTGGAAATGTAGGTGCCGCTAGCTTGACTGTGTTCTCACAAACGAATGGAAACACTCTACGCTGTTCAAACCTTTAGTTAACGTTACCGTACTGAAGAAAAGTGTTCGTCGTCGACGCCACTGTGTGTGAGCGTGCGAGCTTAAAGCGGTGGCGCAAAACACAACATTAGATAAGTTACTATGACAAGTGTAAAAATATAAACCACAGCAGAATAATTAGTGTAATAATTAGTGTTAACCAGCGGAAAAATCTCTTGTTCAAGGCGGCCGGGCCAAGAAAGGCAGCGGGACAGCAAGAGCGACAGTACAGATGTGGAGCGACAACTATACAATCAAAACATCTTCCATTTTACATGTCATGCAACAGCACACTATGAAAACCAGTACTAGTATTATGACACGTTCATGCTAATGAAAATACACTAATGCTAATCATTTACAACATTTACATTCATCTTTATTATTATCTTTTGTCTTGTTTTTATGTGATTATAAACTTGAATATCTGTGAAACTGTGATGGACACATGTCACTGTTTTCAGACCAGACATTTAAAAGACCCAAGTGATGAATCAATAAATCAAGATGGCCTCCTGTCGAAGTATTTAGACTAATTACATCAAACACAAAATCACAACATCGTCATTCTGTCTGTTTGCGGCCGTCTGGCCTGTTGGACAGCTGAAGGATCTCTGACCTCAGGGTTCCAGATGGTTCTCCTTAGACCGGCGATCTGTTGGGCTGCAGCCGGGCCAGATGGGTCACCAGAGGGCTTGGCTCAGTGTTTGGATAGCTTGATTGGCTTGTTGGTTTTAACTTGCTCAGGAGCTGAGTGATGGACTGAGGTGTCTGACTTACTCTGGGCTGTAGATGGTTTATTTTGGTTTCATTAATGGCCTTTCAGGTGACAAATGGAGCTGAAACAGTAAGTTAATCAATATGTTGAATAATTGATGGTCTTCAAGTGGCGCCTTCAAATATCTGAATTTTTTACTGAAAAGCCCAAAGATATAGAGAGTTGATGTCCCTCCACTGTCAGTTTAAAACATAATTTAAGTCAAGAAGGTCGCAGTTTGTTGTAAAATAGTAAAGTAACATTTAGTTTTGTGTTAAATTGTCAATGAACTACATATCTTGTCTCACACAATATATGTCACCAACATGTTAGCGCTATAATGCTAAGCTAATGCTCATTGTTTACTTGCTACTGGCTAGGTAACTTAGCTATGTTCACCTGTTTAATCCAACGACTCCTGGTCCTTTCATCACATCATCTACACATGGAAGTTCTTTGATGTTAGCGTCCATGACGTTAGCTTCCGTGGCGTTAGTACCATTGACATTAGCTTCCGTGGCGTTAGTGCCAGTGACATTAGCTTCCGTGGCGTTAGTGCCAGTGACATTAGCTTCCGTGGCGTTAGTGCCAGTGATGTTAGCTTCTGTGACGTAAGCTTCTGTGACGTTAGCTTCTGTGATGTTAGTGCCAGTGATGTTAGCTTCTGTGACGTTAGCTTCCGTGGTGTTAGTGCCAGTGACATTAGTTTCTGTGACGTTAGCTTCCGTGGCGTTAGTGCCAGTGACATTAGTTTCTGTGACGTTAGCTTCCGTGGTGTTAGTGCCAGTGACATTAGTGTGACATTAGCTTCTGTGACGTTAGCTTCCATGGCTTTAGTGCCAGTGACATTAGCTTTGGTGACGGGTTTTTTTAAGCTTCTGTGACATTAGCTTCTGTGACGTTAGTGCCAGTGACATTAGCTTCTGTGACGGTTTTTTTAAGCTTCTGTGATGTAAGCGCCGGTGATGTTAACGCACGTAGCCATGCATTTATACTTCAGTTGGCGGTAGCGTTATAGCTCCCGCTGTGTTAACTTCTGCTTGCCGGGCAGGCTAACTTCCAGTTTAGCCTTACGCTAACTTGAATGGGGGTAAAATGATAAATGTGCAGCTCTTGTAGACTTTTTAAATGTTATCGACTGAATGGATCAAACTCTGATAGTGAAACGAGTCACGTCACGTGGGTTCTGTTGCGCGGATAGGCCGCATGTGAAATTGACTTCAAAGCACGGAGCACTTCCTGTGAGTTTGGAGGAAATGCGTGGGAGTCAAGTATAAAACGGGCTTTAGGCTTTCCACATGAAACAGAAAAGCAGAAATTCCTCACATGTAGAGAAGCTGGATCTGGATATTGTTTTGAGTTTTTTTGTGTTAAATTACATACAATTAATTGACTTTCAGTCAGTCGTGATCTCTGTTATTCAGCCGGTGGTTTCGGCTCTGATGTGAGGCTGGAGAATAATGGTTTTGTGTTCCTCTCTGTCATGTTGTAAACAGGCTACTCTTTATTTCGGTTGTTCAGGCTGTGACCACGAGGCCCCATCACTCCAGAGCCACAACAACATAAATGCAGACGTTACAGATGCCTTCACCTTCCGTAAACTTTGACCTGAGCACTCACACATGGTACTGAGGGCGTTTCTAAAGACGTTATATGAGCTGGACTTTGATTCCTTCAACTTCCTCGAGCGTGACATCACCAGGAATGATTTAAGCGAAGGCGAGATTAGAGGATGATGTATTTAAAAAGAGATGGCAGGACGATGCTGTGTGTTTTTAGTTGTATTGTTGTTGATTGAAAACTGTTGACTGCATTAAGACAAGAAAAGAGACCGTTATAACTGAAGGTCTGGTGATTATTTTCTCCATTAATCGATTGGTTGTTTGTTTCAGTCTGTTTTATAACAGCCATTATTACTTTAACACATTGGTTCACAAACTTTTTAACGTCACGGACCCCTAATTGGACACAAATTAGACAACCCCGTTTGAGTTTGTCCCAGGTTCCCCCATCTGATAGCATTTTCGCTTTATTATTACAGACAGTGCATGACACACATGACCAAAATATCCCACCTTATGTTACTTGGAATTATATGTGAAAATACAAGATTCCCCTTTTTTGCTGGGGACCCCCTGGAACCTCCTCAAGGACACCTGGGGTTCCCCAGACCCTACTTTGAGAACCACTGCTTTAACAAATATAGCAACACTGGTTAACCCCGGGTTCTTTTTAGCATCTAATTAGCATGTTTTGCTATTAGCAATTCAGTGAGGAAACAAAACCATGCAAATTACAAAATGTTTGGAGGACTTTCATTTTTACAGAACTGCTAAGCTAATGTTTGCTAAGCTAACTTGCTGTCATAAAATATGTTTAATCATTTACAGTTATTTAACTTGGTTTTTTCTTTTTATTATCTTACCTTTATTTTACTAGGCAAGTCGATTGTAAACAGATTCCTATTTACAGCAACGGCCTCCTGTAGATTTGTTAAACCTTTTTCACCTCAAGGACCCCTAAAATGACACATCGAGTTTTTGCTTCTGATGTTTTATTACTCAAAGTGAATGAAACACATAGTCAGACATCCTGTCATTGTCTTATGGATGGAATTATAGTGAAAATAAATGATTTATCGTCCTAGAACCCCCTCAAGGACCCTTGGGGGGTCCCCGGACCCCACATTGAGAACCACTGCTGTAGGGAATGGGTACTGGGATTAAATAAAACAACAGACAGAAGATGCAGGACAATAACAGACCTTAAAACCAGGCACTGAGACGCCAAGAAACCAAATAAAAAGAATAATGAAACAGGCTTTCTTCATTGCTTTAAGCAGAACATCCATTTTAAAAAAAACTAAACACCATGCTGAGCCACTTTAAAATCCTCCTGCTACATTAACATGAAGCTCTGGTCGTGTTACATTAACCACCTTCAGTTTTCTCTCTGTGAAATATAACCTTCCTCCCTCCGGTGAAGGAACCTCGGTAAACGCCGGTGGTCAGCTGGAGGTGTTTGTGTTTACGGCAGCGGGAACTGACATTAGTGAGTGACTCTCAAACGAACCTGGGCCAGAAAAACAAACCCGAGAGGAGACAAAGAACGGCGTGGACCCAGTGGCTCTTTACACAATAGCTGCAAAGCACTTTCACGCTTTGATATGTGTGTCACGTTGTACGGCAGGCATTCCTGCACTGCCGCTGCTGTTGTCAAACAACCAGACTGCGGGGGCGGGGGGGGGGAGCCCCTGCGCTCATTCAAGTGTTGTCAAGAAAGAGGCCTCCAGTGAAGGGGAAATGGAGGCTACGCTGAGCAGTAAAACAAGCTCACACTCCCTGTCTGATACTTTCAGTTCTGCTTAAAAACGTGGTTTGGTCCAGTTTAACAACATTTCCTGCTGCAGGACGGAAAAGAGATTTGACTTGTTTCCTGATCCGAGTATGAGGACGGGTACCGTTTCAATTTGATCAGTTCTGATTCTGCTTATTGAGTCTCGGTTCTGGTTCCTTCACCACAGATCTCGTCAGCGCTCTGTGACCTTTATCCTCTTCCTCCTCGCTCCTCTTCCCCTTCATGGCTAAAGTGAAGGGAGTTTCTGTCCTGGAGGGGCGTCTCCGGGGACTCTGCTCTAAGAAAAATACACATTGAGTCATTTGTAGACATCATTCGTTTCCCTTCAGTATAAAAGGTGAACGTCAGCTCGCCTGTGTATTATACCGGAGATGTTGCTATTGTTAGCTTTGGAGCGTTTGCCGCGGTCCGCCACGGTCCAGGACTGGAAACAGAAGGACTCTCTTCTTCGTGCTTTGTTGTCGTAACAAATGAGGTGCCGTCAGGTCGGCGTAGCGGCTCCTGCCAGATAAGAGACACTTTTATGGACTGTAAATTGCTCACTGCAGTTCAGTCAGGAGCTGAAATATGCAGGAAGTTAGGAACCGATAAGCAGAATCCAAACTCGCTGATCAAATCCACGGTTCCAGGAAATTTGGTAGTGGTTCCAACTTGGAACCGGTTCTCGATACCCAACCCCATCTGAGTAGCTGGAAATGATGTGTTCTTGCTCTGTGTGTATATGTGTATGAAAGAATAAAATATTTGAACGAAACATCATTACATACAAAATATAACTACTAAAATGAATTCTTTAGTTGTTTAAAAATTGAGCAAAGAGATGTGTGATTCACAGCCGCCATCTTTGTTTGGAGTTTGCTGTCCTGAGAACCGATACTTTGGTACCAAGTCGGTGCTCGTTTTCCTAGGTACTGACAGTACCGGAGATCCAACACGTGGAAGATGGCGACATGTGCAGCTGCAGCGACCGCGCCGCCTCGACTCGTCGAAATGAAAAGAGGCGTGTGTGGAAACCGGAGTGAAGTTAGTTTTGCGGTTGTTTCCTTCAACAGCTCTGTGTCAAATTTTTCTCACAGCTCTGGGATCTGTTGGAGAGCTGATTCAGGCAGACGTTTCACGGTTTGATCACCTGAAAATCACCAAAGATGATGGTGCAGTTTTTCAGCGCTAAGAAAAGAACGTCTGTTGCTGAGTTAGTAAGTGCAGCTCGATCCGTTTCAATCATCAGTAACTGTTGTTATTCAACATAAAAATCTCAAACCACTGCCAATATAGATTCAAACCACCCTTAAACATTTCACACCTGAGAGATTGTAAAGAGAAGTAAGTAATTAATTGATTTATTAATTAAATATGTTCATGTAATGATGGTATTGACATCAAACCAGCTCTCATCTGTCCTGGACGTCCTCTCACAGCGTTCACAGCTACTAGTTGTTCGTTTAATGTTTTTAATAAAGGAGTGTATTTTGAAGTACATGGCGGGATTTATTGTTTTTGTGGTATCGTATCGACTACTAAATTTCTGTTACTTCAGACTCATTATTGTTTTGATCCAGATGTTTAGAAGAGTCTCAGAGGAGTCTGGGTAATAACCTGAGTTGTGTTTGGCTCAGCATGATGTTAAGTGGCAGATCAGCGGGCTCGCTGCACGTCCTCTGTCCCAGACGAAACCTAAAATACAACGTGCAGAACGCAAGATAATTCAATAACTATAATATGACCGCGTGGTGAACATATGAACCTAACTGTAAACAACTACCGCTTTGTGTTGTTGGCCAGATAAAATGACACGAGATCATTTTTCAGTGAACGAAAACGCCAAGTAAGAACAAAAAGTCCTCATATTAAAGTGATTTGTTAACATCACGGTCTCCGTGCTGCACTAATAACAGTAGTGAGGCTTTCGTCTGTGCACACATTTCATTCACAAGTACAGTTGTGGTTTATTATTATTATTTGTGTCCCCTGACGTCTTCTTGTTCCTCCGGTTAAAAAGCAACAGTTTCACTTCCACATTAGAGAGAAAACAGGACTCGTATCTGAGGAGTGACATCAGGCCGAGTCGTTCCCAGCGTTGACTTGAATCGCCTGCAGTGTGAGGCGTGTTCGGGCTGGCTCTGTTGTTTCTGTGCGGTTCTGTTCACGCCGGCCTCGACTGTGTTCACAACAAAGAGGAACAAAAACAAGAAGCCGACTCATTTCCTTGTTTGCACAGGGAGGCAGCCGTGAAAACTGCTGTTTACATTTTCTAGCGTCTCAGTTTTCCACCCGTCCGCCCTCCAGCAGGAGACTCTCTGTCCAGACTTAATGATAATTTTCATTAATAATTACTTTGCAGATTGTTTTCACAGTTAATTGATTACTCGTTTCTATAGAAAATGTTGGAAAATCGTGGCAAACGTCCAAGGTGAAAATTCCACTCACTGTTATTATAAACGTTTGAACAGCTTAATCAATGATTAATCAATTATCAAAATAGTAGTTGAGGGGTTTGTTTTTTTTGGTTCGAGCAGTTAATTGTTTCAGCTTTAATTCAGTTTATTATCACAGGAGACTTCAGCAAGCGTTCATGATGAAGAAGCTGAAGCAGTGATGTTTTACAGAGGCAAATAAAACAATAAGTCAAATAGTTGCCAACTAATTTAATCTCAATTCAGGTAATTGTTTCAGCTCTTATCGTTGCTTTTTAAATTAATTTGAAAATTAATTTAAAAAGTAAATGCAGTGAACATTAAGAAGACAGCGATGGTGGTTTATTCCATCAAGTTTCCCTCAGCGCTCTTAGAAAAAGCAAATTATGACCAGACCAGCGTGCTGCGCCTGCTTCTGGAGGACTGTTGCTGGACTGGATTTACAGAGAGGTTTTTCAAAGCGCGGGAATTTTAGTGTTGTTCATCATTAAACTGGTAACCGTTTCATCCCTAGTACAAACACGGGATTGTGAATATATGTGAATATTTGCTGTTTTGTCTTCTTTGATATGAAACGATCTAGAAATTGTTCTTTAATGTTTCTGACATTTTCTGAACCAGTCGGTCGACTAATGGTTTCGATTCCTGGGAGAGAAACGGTTTCTGTATTATAGCTGAATGAACGTTTCTTTTGAAATTTGTTTGTACTTTTTCAGCCGGAAACTTTGTTGTAATATTTGCAAAATTTGAGAGGAAGTCCCAGTTTAACTCTGCAGAGTTAGTCTTCCTGTTAGACTCTGACACGCTGCGTGAGGCAGCTGGAGGCTGATCTGAAACGGCCTCTCTGTGGTCTGCTAACCCTGTTTTAGATCCCGGCGTGCAGATAATAGTTTTAACCCTTTAGCTCATGTGACCAGTTGTGTTAACTGACCCGTAGGCTGATGGCGGCGGCGCGGTGGGGGGAGGGTCAGTCCTGCCTCTCTGTGGTCTCTCTTCTCTACTTCTGTATGTTGTGCAGTTTTTAATAAATAAAAAGTCTCTCTCTCTCTCTCTCTCTGCAGACGGCCTTAAGCTCCTTCTTCCAGGAGGCCAACATCCCCAGTCACCACCACCAGATGGTAAGTGCATTCGGTGCCCTTAAAAAAGAAAAGAGATGAGACTTAAGGCGGATTCTGTCTTTCTGGACGGTGCGATTGATGAACCCGCTGGCCTGCAGGACCGACTCACAGTTCTGCTGTTCAGACACACTTTAAAAAGCATGTCCAGTTTAAATTAAATCTAAAAACAATGATATTAAGAGGTTTTTTCCCCACTGGACACAAACCCACCAACACCCGCTGACATCTGGCTTTAATCTTCAGTGTGAACGGGTACTAATGCGCTCCAGCTCCGACCTGCAGGACTCATTCATCAGAGGCGAGTTCATCCCTGACAAAACGCAGAGTTTATTTAAACAGAAACGGCGGTGTGTTTAATACGCTCTGCACTTTACTGTCTTTTTAAATACGGCAGGGTTTAAATCCACGTCGCTGCTGACTGGGGTAACACCTCTGAGACATCCACCAAACGAGAGGAAACGTACCTCAGGCCCTGTTTCGCACGAACACCGTAAAAACACCTGTCGCTCGCCCAGCGCGGCGCTGTTGACCAGGAACGCCTTATCTTTACGGGCTACACGCAGGAACTTTGTCTCGGTTCACGCTGGAGGCTTTCATGCTCCGATTTATTGTCCAGATCTGATTTTAATAGTTTTAAATGTGGTCCAGATCAGACTGAAGTGCGACCCGACCACGGCCTGAATGTGACCCGCGTGTGCAGAAGAATAAAACGATGTCAGACGCCGCACGCTTTGTGCAGTAGCAAACAAAGAGAGTCTATGTGACCTGGGCTGTTCACACTGTTATAAAACACATCAGATCTGAGTCACTTGGGCTCCTCGGCTCCATGCTGCTTTCTACTAAAACGCCAACTCGTCTACTGGCGGCGTGAAATGAGCGAGTCGCCTTATTTTTAGCGAGTGTTTAAGAAACCTGGATAACACGCGTTAACTTCTGGAGTTCAGCCGCTGACGGTTGAAGTTTGGAAACAGGCAGTCGAGCCGGCTCTGTTTTGGTTGAATACTCTCAATTCCCAGGTCCTCTGAACTACCCACAGTGCACTTGGTTTAATGTTTACACCACCCATGTGACCACACGGAGGGAGCTCTGGACTCTGACAGACGTCCGTGCTGATGAGGAGTCTGTGTTCTTTCACTTTTAGCTCGGGAACCTGAAGTCACGAACGGTTTCTGGTCTGCACACGTCTCACTTGGTTTGGATTGAACCTGCGTCACCGAGTCCGTCTCTGGTTGCTTTGAGTCTTTGTGCTGTTTAACTGCCGCCCTGTGACTCAGTAATTATCGGCTTATGAGGAGGAATCACTTGAACTGCGGTTGAATGAAAGAGTGATTCTGTTGCTGTGCAGACTTGCGTCAGCGTGCGCAGGGAGACGTCCTTGGCCCAGCGCTGCTTGTGCAACGCCGTTTCTTAACACGTCTGAATGTTCTCCCACTAACCCACCGCACTGCATCCTGGGGATTTGTCTTATCCCGATCATGCAGGAACGGCGTGCCGCCATCTGCGGCCGCGTTTTGTTTTCAGTCTGAAGCAGCTTTCCTGCCGCTGCTCTGGTTGTTGGTACGTGCCCGTGTGTTGCTGGAAACAGCGTGCTGCGGCTTGAGAGAGCGAGGAAGAGGCAGCGGCGGCGGCGGCCCGGGTTTGTTATTATTTTGGGTGCAGCGCGGTGACATCATCCCGCCCGAGGCTCTGGTGTGGAAGAGTACAGGGTTGCACAGAGCTGAAGAGAAGGAATGAAGCAACAAGGGCGAGCTTCAGCTGCCAGATGGCCGAGTGTCGACCCGCTCCGCTTTCTCTTCCTACACTCACGGCGTCCCAACATGGCTGCAGGACGCTCCCAAGGGCCACGAGCATGGAGGAGAAAGCAGCGAGTGTTGCAGTAATAGTAAAGATAAACACTTTCTGCTGTCAGCGCAGAAGGGCGTCTCTGAAAACCAGAGGTTTATTGTGAAAAAGTCCGTCTGGAGTCGAGCTGCTTTGTGTCCTGATGTAACACAGATAGACATGAAACGACAAAACTGTGATGTTTGCAGCACAGAACAAATATTTAAGAATTATTATAGCTTTATTTCAGTCACAAAGTGCTTCTCCGTCAGCGTAAAACATAAACTAGTACAGATAAAATAAGAATCACACGGGTTTACAACAATCAATATATAAAAAACACAAGTCAACATGCAAATAAAGCAAAAATAAATAAACAGTGAAAACTTTTATTTTGTAAAAATGCAGCAGATAATGTGAAGAATAAAATATTAAAAACAGAAACCAGCATGAATAAATATTGAATGTCTGATAGAGAACCGGTTCTGTGGCTTGTTGTCTGTTGGGCGTTAATGCATGAGGGTCACATGTGTTGTGTGTGGTACACGCTGTTCCCGGGCGGCGTGACGGAGAGTCATGGGAGCTGTTGTTTATACCGTACACAGAGATCCAGCCTGAACACGGGCGGAACGCTGCGGTCCCCCGGGAGTCATGTGTTTGCGCTGATGCTTCAGACGGCGTGTGGCTTTATTCCTTAACGTCACTCCATGTTTGAAGCAGGAATAATAACGATGGTCTGTGTTTGGAAACCTCCGACTAAAATTACATCCAACCTTCAACCGCTATGCAGAGTCAGAGGTCGCACGCCTCTGGAGCAGCTAGGAGTTGGGTGTCTTGGTCAGGGACACGTTGGCGGATGTGTTGCAGTGGGGGGAAAAAAACGTTCAGTCTTTCAAACTGCATCCTGATGAGAATGAAAAGAGAATAATTCAAATAAATCACAGTTTCAGTGAGTAAAGCGTATTCAGTTTCAGTTAAAGTTTCAGCTGCCGCACCACCAGACCGCTGAGCAGCTTTTTCCACCAAGCTATCAGACTCTTAAACTCCAGTGATGATAGTTTTATTTCTGTTCACCATTTTATAATTGATTCTGTATTAATGTATGTTGTCTGCTATGTAGCAGAAGGGAATTCCAAAACACAATTTCACCCTACAACTCCTTAAATTGTGACAATAAACCTTCCTACCTAATTTACCCCCAAAACTACTGAGCGAGCTAATCTCAATCTGCCAGATTTGTTTCATTTGAGCCCCCAAATTCTGCTTTTATGTGCAGTTTGGAGGATGTATGAAACCTCTATACAAATATAAATGTTTAAAACAGACACGCATCGTTATATTGTCCACAATTTAATCGTTTGGTTCATTTTACAGAAACGATGAGCACCACAGTCTAATTCATTCAGATTTACCAGCATGGTAAAAGAATTAAAGGCCCGTCCCAAATATAGGCCGGGGTGAGTTCAGTGATTTAAGCAAATAAAAGCCCGGGCTGTTGGTTGAAGTTTAATTTTACATGGAGTTTATGTTCTACTGCATAAAAGTAGTTAAAAGGACAATGTTATTTAAGATTAGATGTAAAAACAGACATTTCCTCTACACAAAAGTCTGTTTGTCTAATAATTCTTCTTCTTGTGAAACACTAGACAGTTTTTTCCTTTCAGGCGCCCCATAAATGGTTTAAATGAAGCAGTTTGAGACATGAAATTCACTTTTAATCACCATCTCACACAGACATCGCTTAATTTATAAGGAACGAAAGAGTTTTTTTTTTTACTTTGACAGGAATGAAATATTCACGGGGAACTTGTGAATCAGTGTTTTCTGAAGATGTGTTTCGCTTTGTGCGAGCTTGAGATGAGCTGTGTTGACGTCACGCTGGGAAAATGCACACATCCAGCATAACAAGCGAGAGAAAACTCATCAGACTAAAAGTGCTGAGACGAGGCGGCAATAAAATATTAAATAGAGAAACAGCACTTTAGGTAATGGACTCTGGAGGAGAGGAGAGTGTCTGCAGGCCAGTTGTGACTGAGTTATTGTTGTTTTGGTGTCACAGAAACATCTTGTGTGTCGGCTCTAAATATACCGGCGCTCCCTCCGGCCTCCTGCCGCACAGCTGAGAGGACCCCTCCTCCATTTCCTCTATTTCTGGCTGCTGCTGCCTGATCTGTGTTTGTGTCGCCGTGAGAACGAAACTTTAAATGATGTTTTCACCGGAGACGTTCGGCAGCGTGTCGGATTTCAACACGTTTAGACCCGACACACTTAATGTAAATAAATAAAGGATTGATTTGGGCTGGGTTTAGCATGTTAGGACCCGCTCAGTTCATCAGTGTTGAAGTCACTGGAGTTTTTACTCCATTTACTCATTTGGCAAAGCGACTTACATTTGAGGAACAACATACAAGCATCAATAAAGACACACACAAGTATTTAACACCAAACTTTAACACTTCTCAGTACTTTAATTCGTGGCAGAGTTCAGACCTTCATCTCGGGGAATATCTGAATAAATCAAGTATTCTTTGATCTGCGTACCACCCGCCGGTCTGGACGCAGCTGAAGTTAAAAACGAGCTCCGTCACCTTTCGGCGACCTGAAACATGCGAATAAACCTGCCTGACTTTCTGCTGCAGACGTGTCGACAATCAACAGTGGGATAATCGTTTCTCCCTAATAACTGCATTTTTAAATATAACTGAGAACAGTGTTGTGGATGAAGTGCTGAGATCCTTTACTTAAGGGAAAAGTACTAATACCACACTGTAAAAATACTCTGGAAAGTATAATCAGAAAAGTGTACTTAAAGTATTAAAAGTGTGTAAAGTACTCAATGCAGAAACTTTTATATATTAGATTATTATTAATATTCCCAATGCATTAATGTAAAAGCAGGAATTTACTGTAGTTGGTTGAACTATTTTGTATCAGACTGCAGCTAATGATTATTTTTATTATGGATTAACCTGCTGATTATTTTCTCCTTTAATCGATTGTAAAAATTCTGAAAATAGTGAGAAATGTTGTGCTCAAATCAGCAAATCTTCACATTTGTGAACCCTGAATCATCAAAAGAGTTGCAAAATAAATTTCTGTCAATCAACGAATGTAGCAGCTGTACAAACTGTTGGGAACTTTAATTTATAAACTTCAAATCTCTTTTGTGTAAATAAAGCTGTCAGATAAATGTAGTGAAGTAAAAAGTACAATATCTCCCTGAAAAGAAAATACTCAAGCAAAGTACAAGTACCTCTAATTTGAACATAACTTACTGTCCTCCACTGTTTGAGAAGTTGAGAAGGCGTCTTAAAGTAAATCGTCCAGTAAAGATTCAGTAACCATATCGACGAGTTTTGTTCACAAAGTCGAACAGTTCTAAATTTTCACGCCCTCTGATTGGCTCCCTCTCCGGGGCAAACTGACGCAGAAGCTGAAATAATCCCAGCTCGTTGTTCTCTCTGATGGTTACATCATCCAGGAGAGTCGCGTTTTTCTGTGTTCATTTAAAGAAAGTACGAAACAAACGCCTGTTAACTTCCTTCCTCTCCCTCCCTCCCAGATGTGCACCCCCAGAAACACTCCCGCCACGCCGCCGAACTTCCCAGAGGCCATGACCATGTTCTCCAAGCTTCGGGCGTCCGAGTGCGGCTCCGGCACCGGCCCCTCCCAGGTGTCCATGGCCTGCTCGCCCCCGGCGCCCTCCTCCACGTCGGGTTTCGGCTCCTTCTGGGCCTCCTCGCCGCCCAGCCACCAGCCGGCCTGGCTGCCCCCGTCGTCGCCCACCGGCCACCACATGCACCACCACCACTACCACCACCACCACCACATGCAACAGACTCCCATGTGGCCCCCCGTCTCTCAGCCCAGCGGCTCCCAGCAGCCCCCCGTCGTTTCAGCGCTCCACGGCCAGAGATGAAGGCGAGAGCGGCGGGGCGCGTGGGAGTGGGGGGTGGGGGCGCTTGGTTCAAGTGCAGCCACGTGATTCTGTTTCAGCAGCAGGAGGGTGGGGGGTTGGGAGGTGTGGGACGAGAGGAGACAAAGACGCTGCTGTTTCCCTCTCTTGTTTTTCTAAAGCGAAGGCGAGCGGTTTTGGCTCTGCTCTTCCTCATCATCCAGCCGAGGAGGCTCGACATGAGAAACTTCGCTCGGTCTCTGAGCTCCAAAAAAAACTTCTTTTCATCGCCAGCGCCGGCACGCCCGGGGCCCGACAGAGTCCCCGCTGAGGACAGGAGCCGCCTGAGCATTGTTTTTATTTTAGAAACTCCTCTTTCACAGGCCTCAGAAACAATCAGACAGGAAGTCAGGAACGACGACCAGCAGATAAACGAAGGAGCGGCGCTCAGATCCCGAGAGGTCGAGGATTTAAAGGCCCTCAGAAAATGTGTTTTTGTATGTTGGTGCGGGACGGCGTTTGTGTCCAGTGTGGAGACGATTATATAGACGTGTGTTAACGTGGAGTTTCACTCACGGCCACTGAAACTGAATCGGAGATGCTGCAGCTGTGTGACGATGATGTCATCACGCACCTGAGCGTCAGAAACACCTGGTGAGATGAGTTGTGAAGGTTTTTCCAGTCTGCCGCTCCGTAAAGACAGATTTCCATCAGTTTGTGGTCCTCTGCCGCCGTTTGCTGAACCAAACAAAGACGGTAAATAACGATGACGCGTGTCAGCGCTCAGTTTGTACGACGTCACACAAAGTTAAGAAGTTCATTTTCAGTTTGATAGAGAGCCAAAGTCATGACGTCACTTCCTGTGTTGCCACTAGAGCTGCAACAATTAATCAAATAATCGATTAGTTGGACTTTGATCAACATTTTTCTGACATTTTATAGACCAAACATCTAATCGATTAATCAGGAATTTTAGCTGCAGTCCTAACTCAGTACAATCTCGAGCTAAAAATACTCTGAATAAACAACCACGTTAAATAATTTCTTTATTTGTTACTAAAACGTTTGAAGTGACCCACAGGGCACGCTGTTATTTTGAATTTATTGACATTACGTTGTAGTATTTTATATGTCCTGACGTATAAAAAGGGGCGCTGACAGCTGTCGTTTCTGACCTCCTGGAGAGAAAAAAAAACACACTTTGCAATTTGCAATGTGTGTTTTGAGGATTCTGGACAAACCTCCACAACAGTGGGAAGCGTCGCCCTCGGTGTGACTTTAAATTCACGAGAGGGTCGAACTGGGCTCGACTGGTGAACGAAGAAAAAAGAATTGTAAAGTAAAAATCTGAGGGATGACTTTGGTTGAACGGAAAAGTTTTGCAATAACTAAGATTATTTGAAGAGCTGGGACATTTAAAACGTCGGCGACTTGTTGTCTGCTGACTCAGCAGGAGCATAGTTTTATTTTATTTTTTTTCTGTTCTTTCGTGATTGCTGCCGTGAGTCCAGGCAGAAACCTCACGGATTGATTTCCTGTTTTGATAGCGAGTGGCAGTTCTGTAAATAAAAACCTCAGCCAACAGATTTCAGTTGCTCCGATGAGATGCACATTAATCTGATTTAAGGAATATTTTGACGCAGATGGGCGGCGCTGTGGCGGGGGGGGGGGGGGGTTACTCAGTGATTTTCCACACAACCTTTCAGACGCTCAACCACTCCTACCTCTGTCTGTCTGAATGGGAGAGGCCCCACATGTGCTCTGAATGTATTCACAGGCAGGATCAGACGGTTCGAACAAGTGCAAACTGCTGGGGGAGAATTTGCAGCGGAGCTCGATTGGAATCTGTGTGTTTTTTGTTTTGATCTCAATTCAGCCCCAGATGATCGTTTGGACGCCACGTACATCACAAACACGCACGCAAGTAAAGTCACCAGTAGATTAGTCTTGAGTTTCAAAAGTGGGAAAACAAAAAGCCACCTTCACGTCACGCGGGAGAGGAGGCCGACGGGATGCAGAAAGAAAGGAAACACTTTTTTATTAACACAGATTTTGTTCTTCACAGATTCACACAGACAATCAACCATTTCCTCTGTTTCTGTGTGATCCCCCCCTGTTTTTTATTGTGCAGCCGTTTTATTCTCACACCTGCTCACTTTTAGCGCAGGTGTGACCACAGTCTTGTCGCGGGGAGGCGGGGCTTCACTATCACTAGAGCTGTTATTTCTTCACCTTCGATGAAAACAGTCCAAAATCCAATTAACAACCTGATGCAAGATTATGTTTTAACAGACATGAGTCGAATCGTCTGTGACGTAAAGGAAAAATCCACCCCGACTGCGGTTTTACATCCCTGAGCTCGTTTGTTCTGTTAATCTTTCACATTCTCGTTGACGCTGTCTACATTTGTGATTTGGTGTCACCAGAGGCAGAATATTATGACTAAATGGCCCCACAGTCGTCATACAGACATGTTTACTTTACCCCTCTGAGTAATACTAATAATAGTAAGTGTTCAATAATGTGTAAACTTTACACTTTTACATATTTGTTGTAGGCAGAATTTATTTTAGTTTTAGTTTACAGACGCTATTGAAGCTTCCTGTAGTCATTGATCCATCAGAGAGAGGCGATGCAGTTTAAGTGATGACTGATTTGAGAAGTCTAGACCGCCTCAAAACCTCGAAGGCTGCAGCCAGCGATTTGGTTTCATTATCAAATAATCTGCCTGTTTCTTGGTTCATCTGATAACCGCGTGTTCTGTTAAACATCTCGTTCTCGCCGTGCCGTCAAAATTTGTCGGTTTTCTTTTTTCAACCAACTGACAAATATTGTTTACTACCATGTAAGACAAGGAAAGTGGCAAATTCTCACGAATCCATCAAATGTTTGACACACAAATGACTTTATATTGTGGATAAATAAACTATTAAAGTCATTTAAGATTCATTTTTGACCCATCTTCACTTTACCTTAGTCACCTCCAGCTGTAGAAAGTATCCAAGTACATCTGCTCAAGTACTTTTATTTACTTGATACACTTGAAATATTGTATTTTTTATGCAAAAAATATGATTCATTATCGTTTAATTAAACCAACAGTATTTAAAGTTAAACATGTTGTTTACATGTCAGCAATACTACAAATCCAATAATATAAAACCTGTGAGTACTTTTTACATTTCATACTTCGAGTACATTTTGTTTCAAACACATGTATCACAACACGACTCATGTATTTGTTAAAGGTCAGCAAGTTTTTTTTGTTTTTTTTTCATACCTTTTAGTGAAATGAATGGAAGTCAATAGACACTTAATACCAAACTAAAACAGAGAAAAACGTTCTGCTGTGATGCAGAGTGTAAATGGTTTGCAGTAAACGGGCTCAAACGTACAGAACAGAACGGCGTGGCCCCTGGAATCAGGCAGGCCGGGAGGCGTTTTGACCTGAGGGGCGGATTTTTCCTTTAAATCAAACAGCGGTTTGTGGACAAGTTGAGGCAAATTTCTGAAATGTGCTGAACTCCTGAATGTTTTGTTTTTGGTGTTTGCGGCAGTGTATAATGAACGAGCCGCAAGTTTTTTGGTGGGGGGGGGGTTTCGGGCCAACAGGGGAACCTTTTGTACGAGGTTCCTGCAGAGTGGATTACTGGCTTAGCTCTGCGATGGAAATCCATGCAGCGGTGGAGGGTGATTATGGAGATTTGAACCCCACGTCTCCACTTCTGTTTTCAGACCATACTTCAGACAATAAAACACAGCTGATGTGTTTCAACCAGCCTGAAGATCTTAGAAACTGGGTTCAACGTTTGTTTTGCTCTCACCAAATGGATGATGGTGGTTTTTCTCTCAGAAATCCTCTGTTCTAATCCATGGCTCTTTTTTTTTTTTTTTTTTTTATAAAGAAGTACTTTGTGTTCATTTCCTCTGTTGAAATTTGTATTTATATGTTTAATAAAACAAGGTATGATCTACTACTTGGAGTGGGTGTGTCTTTGCCGACAGCGTTTCATCACACTTGTTTTGGTTTTACTGTAAGAGCCAAAGGACGGTTGAGAAAGCATAAAAGCTTGTGGTTCCCGAACTACACTTCTCTTCTGAGGTTACTCGTCTTTGCATGAGTGAGAATGAAGATTGAGGAAGGATGTGGTTGGCACAGAGTGTCAAACTGAGCTCGTGTCTGTGTTTCTCATCAGTTGATGTGTGATACACCCAAGTGTCCCAACATGACATTAAACAAAAACTGTAAAGATACGTTGAATGACACAACTCAACAAACTGGATGAGCTGCTGTTAAAAAAAGTTTATAAAACAAACCGCAGTGAATCATAAAGCTTTAAAGAGCCACAGACATGACTGGAGACAATATTCAGTGGTGAAAGTAATCAAAGATTACAGAAAAGTCCAAAAACAATCAGATTTGTGTATCAGAACTTTTCTTCTTTCCTCCCATTAATCATCTCACAACCCCCAGATTTACTAGGTTGGGAAACACTGGACTAAGCCAGCTAACAGTATATAACGTAGATCAGAACTGGCTAACGTAGTTAAGTCTAGCTAACTACATAAAAACGAGTGTACATAAGTTGTTAAAACTACTTTATATAGTTAAATAGTTCAAATAACCTAAAAAGTCACTTGTCAAGAAGCTAAATTCTTCAACGACAGGAAATGATACGAAGTTCAGAATGAGTTCACCAACTCCTGCTTTCCTCTTTACTCATCAATGTGTCTTCCTGCTCTCAGTCTGATGTTTCTTTGAACAGGATGAACACTTGCTAGTAGTAGTGATGCGTTTCCTCTCATGATGCAACACCCAGGTCCTCGGCCTCCTGCCACACAAGGCTGACAGTTGACGGAAACACATTGGAGAGTTTATCACTCTGACTAACTATATATTTAAATATTTAAACTTTATATGTTGTTTGGTTTGGACCGGAGCAGCCAAGTGTGTCTTCTCTGCTGCACGTGGCTTTACAACACAGCTCTAGGTGGCGTTACAGCAACAGTTTAATGATATTTAGATCAGTAATAAGCATTCGTAAGAATTTAAGTTGAGCTTTTAGGATGTGTTTTTAATTACGGTTTAAAGAGTTGATATTTTGGTCATTTTCAGGTTCCTAATTTTATTTAGGGGTCGAACCCAATGACTGAAAAAAAAAAACCTGCGTCCTCTCCAGCAGCCAGCAGGGGGCGACTCCAGCGGATTGTATAGAAGTCTATGAGAAAATGTTTCTACTTGTCAGCTGATTTATTCCCTCAGTAAACACTTTCCTGATGAGTTCATGGTCTCAGTCGCTAGTTTCAAGTCTTCTTCATCACAGCATGATGTTCATTTAGTAAATTATGGTCCCGTTTAGAGGAACAGAGACCAGGAAGCAGGGGCCCAATCACATCTCTTACTAGCCTCAACCCCATCTGCTCTCCGTTTCTTGCGTTACGGGTCTAAAAATCCCCTTTTTTTTAGACGGAGGCCGCCAAATACGCGACAACCGACGTGTTTGCTGCCGGGGCTGCAGGAGCCTCAGCATCAGCTGCAGTACCCTGCGCAGTGCAGGCACCTGAAGGAGGAGAAGAGCTTTGGTGGCCCCTGCCAGGCAGAGGAGGCGGTGTGAGACAGTGAAACAGAGAGAAGAAGTGAAGCGGGAAGCATGGAGGGAGGGTCATTACTGATTACTGCATTATATTTTATTATATATTTTTGTCACCTGCCACCTGAATTTTGAGCTTCCCTTTATAAAAATAAAGACTTTTCCACCATAAATTGGTGCAGAAAATGTCTCCACGACTGATTTTCGTGGGCTGCCTCGGCCAAAAATGCCAGGGCTGATGTCCCAGTCCAGCCCTGACTACTTAAGGACTACTAGCCAATCAGAAGCAGAGTATGGCAGATCCTGACAAGCAAGGTAGTGTGATTTTAATTTATTCAGTTTAATACAGCAGGGACAGTGCTCATTAATAAAACATTGATGTAAATGCGCCAGAGCAAAGGACTGTTTTTCATCTAAAGTCCCTGGACAGTTGTTACGTAGTCAACTTAAAAAACCTAAAAGCCTAAAGTAATGAAATACTACTTCAAGTACTCTCTGAACTATATATATATCTATATAAAAGACGTTTCATCCGGTAACCACGGCTTCGTTTCAGGCGCACATAATTGAGCCTGAGTCTGATCCTGAAAAACAGGCAGAACAACCAGAACCAGCTTCACAACCTAGAGAAAGACTATTATTATTAATCTGTATCACATTCATCTTTCATAAGTAACATTTTAACTGTGTCTCTACATCATAGTAACAGCTTCATGTCCACTGACAGTCTCTAACGTTTGGTAGGGAGGTGGGAGGAGCGGGCGGACGTCTTGTCACTGTGTGCTGCAGCTCAGTGTGTTTCTCCACCAGTGTTTGAGGGCGTGATTTTGTTGTTAACCAGCAGACAGTAGCCTGAAGTGAAGTACACAGTTCAAATATAGTTTATGAACACACACGCGCTGAAGTTTATTCTGACTCAGTCCCACACACACCGTCCTGCTGCCTCAAATACCCACTACAGCACCACATGTGGATTCATCCACCGCTGAAAATAGTCCCCAACAGATGCACTATTTCCTGTTTGTCTGATAGAAACTACAGCGAGCAGCTGTTACTGTAGGAAATTACTGAGCCTTTTTAAAACATTAACTATACACCTGTGACGTTTTGTTTAAGATTTACGTCTTCATGATGAACCAATGGGCTCGGAGCTAAGAGCCACAGACAGGAAGTCTTGAAGGACGGACTGACATGTTGTTGGTTTAGCTCTGCACATGAGAACAACATGAGACTTCTCATTTAATAAAGCCATTACTTGTAATTTATAAATCCTTCTGTCTGATTGATTGGAAGAATCCTCTGGAGCAACAGGAAGTTTGTAATGTACACTCAAGTTTATTAATTATTATCGTTATTATTAATAATAAAGTGGCTGATCACAAAAACGCAACATTACAAAAATAAAAATAAAATCCAAAGAGCCGTCGCAGTGCTGGTGATTTACAGGACATGTAGTGCATAAAATTAAACTACAAAGAGGTGGAAGCAGGTTACCTTCTCTCTGCAGAAGTTAATTAAGTATGAAAAACACTGGGGGGGCTTGGTGTCGCCCCCTACAGGTTGAGCGGTTCGTTGGCCTGACGCTCTGTGTCTGCAGCAGCTGAAGCCGGAGTGAGGGAGCTCTGAGACGTGCAGCCCAGAGCCGACACGGGCCAGTCCCGACCCGAACTGCTGGAGGCTGGAGGAGGAGGAGGAGGAGGGGTTACATCACTTTTTACTGCCATAGCAACCTAATTTTCCCATTTTATCTCATGTCAAGCTTCATGATTCCAGCTATCCAGGGTGTTAAAAACCAAGATCACTTCTGCTTGAACAGAAACAGCGACTATATCGCTGTCGTCCCTGAATAAAAATTGTTATTTTACCTCGCAGAACAGCTGGTCTACCGCTGCTTCGTCGGTTAGTTTGTTTGTGGTATTATGAGACTTTGTTGTTTTTGTGTTCTTGTGTGATTTTGGTGCTTTAAAGAATATAACACAAACTAACCGATCGAGGCAGCGGCAGACCAGAGAGGTCAAATTACCATTTTTGTCAAGGCAGCCTGATGGTTTTGACGATAACGATACAGGGACAGTTTGGGGCCAAACAAAAAGGATCTCACTCTAAACCTGTCAGCGGCAACGACAAGCACTTTAGTGGACGTACTTTGACGGGGCGCAAGGATTAAGTTTGCAGGCCTGTTTCACTGCTCAGTCACATAGATACAAAAACATGGGAAAATAAGGTCCAGGCTGAAACAAACAGAAGATATTCTTTAAGCTCAGTGACATGTTCAGACAGGTATCACATTTCCACCATATTTAACACAACACAGGATCCTGCCAGGAAACTGGACCAGAGCACCACAGAGATGTAGTTAGACTGTGAGGCTACATCCACGCTCCTGCGTTTTCTTTTTAAATCGGAGACCTTCTCCTACGTTTCCGCCTGCCGTCCGGACTAAAACGGTGAATCCGAAGACCTAGAACAGTAAAGTTTGAAAAGCGCTGCTGACCACGTTTTGGTTTTAAACTCTGCGGTAGCGTTTTGGTGCGGACAGGGGAAAACTTTAAAAACAATGACGTTCAAGTTTCAGTCTTCAGTCATGCAGAGCAGAAACATAATGCTACTGACAGAGTTTTAGTTTTGGTATTTTATTAAAGTAGTTTGTACTGTGTAAATAACATTTACACAGGTGTACTGTGCATTTTGCCGGATGTGTTTAGCGTCTGTTTTCCTTTGCACTCATATGTTAATTTCAGGAACTGTTCCAAAAAAACAACAAAAAACATCTGCGGTTCTGCGTCTGTAGTAATACTTTCTTCTTTTAAACAAAAACATAGTAGTGTGGATGTAGCCTGAAAGGAAACCCAGGGAGAACTGGGTCACACCTGTGTGAGACTCACCTGAGCGGCTGCACTGGACGCTCTTGGCACTGGGGGGGTGATGAGCCGGAGCGCTGTGTCCCATCTCCGGGGAACCGGCGGGTTTGTGGGGCAGGGAGCACTTGGCCTTGTCTTTAGTTTTGCACATGCCTGCGGCCATCAGAGCAGACTCCCTCTCACCACGACATTTCCAGCTCTCAGCTGAAACACACCGAACGACATTTGTTCTCATAAATCATTTTCAGAGACTCTGAGCGCTTCAGCAGGTGAGAAATCTCTTCCTCATGTTCCACATAAACCATCCAGGCTTCAAGGCTGAAAGAGCCACAGACACATTTGGCCTAAAGCTGCTGGCAGCTCATAAAATAACACGCTAATAATAATAATAATAACAATCCTGAAACACAAAAGGCACGTGAGAATAAAATAAAGACAACAAAACAAAACAGTATTTACACAGACTTCACGAGGAAGTGTTCCACTTGCATAATGCTGTGACTTTACATCGAGTTTCAACACATTTCTCTTCTTATTGGGTGCTGTGGACGTAGATTAACTTTACCGTCTTTGGTAGGGATGATAGGTAGTTTAGTGTCTGTGTTTCTCATGGCAGCTGCGTTCAGGCGACCTTTGTAAATGTGCCCGTCCAGTCCGACGATATCAACCTCCTCCGACTACCCACACAAACACACAGAGGGAGCAGTTAATGGTGAGGAGACAGCTGATAGATCCGTCGATTCTTTAAAAAACAGAAATATTCTTCTTTAAAAACAGTCACGCTGTAGATTCAGGCTGGGTCAATGAATTTGTTTGGCATAAACCAAGAAGTTCTCGCATCTTTTACTTAAGTTAAAGTAGCAATAACTGTGCGTCCCAGACAGATTATATTATATTATTTTAAAATATTGAAAGACCACAGCGGATAAATACAATCACTCTGATTCTCGTTGTAATGTGCAAAAGTTTTAGGCAGGTTGTGAAAAGATGCTGTAAAGTAAAAATAGATTAATAGATTATGTTTATTATTAATTAACAAAATACAAAGTGAGTGAGCAGAAGAAAAATCTAAATCACATTAATATTTGTCGTGACCACCACGTGCCTTCAGAACAGCCTCAATTCTTGTAGGTTCACTTGCACAAAGTCAGAGATTTTTCAGGCTTGTCATCATGTTTACGATTAGTTAAACCAAACAGGTGCTAATGATCATAAATCCAATATGTAGGTTGAATCCTTCTTACGTCACACAGTACTGTTTGTTGGAGCTTTACATCAGAATAAAAGACGGGTACATACCGGAATCAAACCGTCCCCCTCGGTCTGGGTGTAGTGCTTCATGTACTGCATGCCGGCGCGTCGCTGGCTGGCGTAGGTGACCGTGTGACTCCCCCCGCAGCTCCGCGTCATGGCCAGGTGACTGCCGTCCGCCGTCGTCTCAGAGCCTCGCTCGCTGCTCGGCCAGACATGAGAACAGAGAAACGGTCTGTCTGCAGCTCCTCTTTTTTTAAAGTCTGTTACCACTAAGGCTGCAACTAACGATTATTTTCTCGACTAATTGATTAGTTGTTTGGTTACATAAAATGTCATGAAATGGTGAAAGATGTCAGTGTTTCCCAAAGCCCAAGATGGCGTCCTCAAGCGTCTCGTTTTGTCCACAACCCAAAGATGCTCACTTTACTGTCATAGAGGAGCAAAGAGACAGAATAATATGCATATTTAAGAAGCTGAAATCACAGAAACTTGCTGCTTCTCAAGCCTTTATATTTCACCTTATTTACTTTTTCTTTTACACGTCCTGATTAATTTCCCTGAGTCTTATTTGCTGCTGCAACAACAGTTTTTTGCCTACAGGCATTATTAAAGTGTCGTCTTGTTTTAAGCCCCATTCGGACAGGATAATTATATTAAATATTACAGGAGCAGGTGGCTGATAAAAATATTTCCCCTCCTCTGTCGTAATAAGTTTTTCATCGGGCATTTAAACTGATTACAGGAGCTGGTTTTGTAACAGAAACATGCTGCGGGAAAACCTACCAGCTGGAGGAGAAGTATTTTTAATATCAGTCTTATTTACCGTTAATTATTTAGCTGTAGTTTAATAAATTTACACAGACAGCTGCAAACAGGGTTTCTGCAGGTTTCAAACGAGTGAAATTTAGACAATTATGAGTGAAATTGAAGGCCAGATTCACAGAACTGTGTGTACACAATAGTGTGTTTCAAGTTGGTTTTCATTTGTAGTTTCATTACAGCAACTACAACTACAGAGAAAGAACTACAAAAAGTGGCTTAAGACCTACCAAAACATATTTAAAACCTAGTACGTCATAACTTAATGTATTTGAGATTTTTTAAGGCCTAAAATTAAGATCTTTAAATCTTAGACGCAGCTGAAAGTCTGTGCAAAACTAAATGTCAGTAACAGAACCTGCTGTCCAATCACACGTAAGATTACACTGATGAACTTGCATTGTCTTGGTCTCATAACATTCATCTTTATCTTGATGTAACTGTGTGATCTATCAGGTTGGTCTGTCTGTGTGTATTAACAACTTAAATAACAGGAGGACAAGCTTGTTCATAACTGGGGTTTTAAATATTACAGGTAATACTGAAATCGCCCCACCTCACCGTGAGACATAAATCCCGTCCAAATGGGGCTTTTAAACTTAAACATGTAACAGAGTGAGCGCTGCCTCTCCTCCTGCCTCTGGCCCTGACTCACTGCAGCACTCCCGGCTGGTTCTGGATCAGGCTGTCGCTCGTGGCGTCGCAGCCGCCGGCCCTGTCGCGGCGTTTCAGTCGCCTCTGCACGCTCTCTATCTGCCTGCACATCACGGCGTGGCTCTTCTGAAGCTGCTCCCTTCTCCTGCCGGGTTTAGCTACCTCAAAGTTGTAGCGGTTGGTCCCTGGTTTCAGGCTGAGACGGCAAAACCAGCTTACAATGGATCAGATACCGAGACTCTAACAAATGGTCTGAGACTACGTTCTGGATTGAAGGATGACAAAACCTCCTCCACAGAAATGATGTCTGTGGTCCTGTTTGTTTGGACGATTGCGCCACCTGCCGGTCAACAGAGGACACAGCAGGTAAAGTGAGAGAAACAGCTGATCTCACCTCCTGTAGTGCTGTCGAAACTGCTCCAGGGCGTAAACGGTGAACGGCCGGATGGACTTGTGAGAGGGGAATCCAGGAGAGGAAGGCAGCTTCACCGGATGCCTTTTAATGCCCAAAGAGTGGATGAGTTTAGAGAGCAGCTAAGTGACACGGTCAGTTTATTTTGTAATCTGGGGGATTATTATACAATACAAGCAAATATCTTCCCCTCGATACGTTCCCGGTGTGTAAATCTAATAATATATTCGTTAGTATCGACTTACGGTCCGGGGGTGTACTTGACAACAGGTCGGTCACAGGAGAGGCAGTGAAATCTGTCCACGAGCTGCCTGGAAATAAACACAAAGAAACGTCACTTCTCCCCACAGATGATTTTAAACAGCTGTTTTAACATGCCCCACAAGAAGGGGTGAGACGGATGTGGCAGGATGGACTACTCAGAAGAAAATATAATAGTATGCTGCTAGCAACTAATTATCACTAAAACCGCCAAAGTTTCAGACTAAAGGAGTGAGTGCCACGCTGACGCTTACTTTCTTAAACCAGCAGCGTCCTCGTGCTCCGGAGCTCCCTGCGCCTGCAGCTTCTCGTGGATGTTCCTCCAGCGACCCTCCAGCTGCCTCTTCACAGAGTCTAACTCGATCCTGTTCATCTACGGCGAGGTCAGAGGTCAGACATCAGGTCACAGATCATCACAAACAAAAACAACTGTACATACAACACACGGGTTCACGCCTACAGGTCCGGATCCTGAATCGAACCAGGAGAATCCAGATAGTCCAAAACAAAAGCCATGTGGTGGAAATGTTGTTCAATCATTGGCCATACAGTCGGGGGGGTAAAAAGACAACAAATCCCTCCAAGTTTCCACCTGGATATTGTACCTCATGGAGCTCCGTAACAGAAAATACCCCAAACATTTGAATAAAGAAAAATTTTCAGCAGACTTTACAGGCCACACACATGAATGTCTGGTAAGACAGCAGGTATTAAATCATTTAATAATGGAGGAAGACGCTCTGCATCAGACGCTCTTACCACAGATCAAACCACGACTTGTTTGCATTTACCAAACAAAGTGGACCAGTAACTTGTAAGCATCCAAAAATCACAAAGTTGGCTGCTAAAGGATAAAAAGGCTTTGTTCACAGAATCCAAATGTATCTCCTAGAATGAATGAATGAATGAATGAATGAATGAATCCCTAAATGCCCCGTGACCCTGCACGGATAAGCGGCTGAAGATGATGGAAATCCCTACATGCTACATAAATAAAAACCTGCAGACGTTTCATCAAGAATAAATATTACATATTATAATTGTTTTTGTTGTTATAGTAATATAGTATTTTTTATTGTATCCCGTATTCTTTCTATTCAATATTTATGTGCTTGATTGTTGCAGTACTGTGCCTTTCTATTTATTTCCTCCTTAGTGTGTTTATTGTAATAAACACCAGGCAAACTGTGAAAACCTACTTGGTAATAAAACGTGTCCGGATATATACTTCATGATATAGCTCAGGTGTTTTTTGTCCCTGATGATCAGGTTCCAAAGCAATCACAGAAACAGTAACAACACATTCAAAGAAGTACAAACTTTGCTGTCCCTTCTTACAGAGGATTTGCATTAAATTTCAGGTCATATTTATCTCGAAGCTCCCGCCTGGACGGTGTTTACCTTACACTCCATCTCGGTGGAGAGTTTGTCGACGACCTTGTGCCAGTCCTGCTCCTGGCCGGTCACCTTGTTCAGCAGCTCGTGGAACATGGCGTTGAGCTGCTCCGTCACCGAGTCAAACTGCAGACGGCTCACTTTGCTCTCCAGGGCCGATTTATCTGCTTTCTTCGGGTGTGTTGAGAGACAACGACAAGTTTAGGATACAAAGAGGCGAAATCTGTGCAGCAAAGCAACGATCGGCTTTTTACAGCTTCTGTCCGTGTTCTAGTGATGATAATAACAATAAAGAAAGAAAACCCTGTGAATAGTCAGTTTTACAGAAACAGCGTGCAGATTTTTACATTTACATTTATATCCACTTGGCAGACGTTGTACCGACGACAGAAGTACTTTCACAGACCCTGACGGAGGAGACGTGTATCAATAACATTGTGTCTGGCAGTGCAACACAGAAGCTATGTTCATGCATGCGAGTCATTTTTGTGCAGAATGGGTATTAATATAAGCTGTCAAAATCAACACACTTACGATTTCATTCTCAACCATGTGCTTGTCGGCCTTCTTCTCCTCCAGCTCCTCCGTCGTCTTGTACAGTTCCTGAGGGAACAGTAATATCTCAGGCAACAGAAAAACAAAGTTAAGCTTATTTCAGTAGACTTTACTGTCAAGGTTGGGTAGGTGTCTCTGTCTGTTTCCTGTTTTATTTTGAAGTTCTCTGTGTCGGTTAGTGGTGTCCAGCTTGGTTTCCTCCCTCACTGCTAGTTTGTATCTGTATATATTTTGCCCTCATTTCTGTTCGGTCTTTGACGGTTCATAGTTCGTCTGGTCGCTGTTTGCACTTGGCTCCTGGGACTAATGTGAAGCTTTCCTCTAGTCTTTTTTTCTTTTAAATGACCAGCTAATTTAACTTTTCAGGACCCAAACATTGCTTCATTTTAACCGGTCGAGTTTGTTCATATTTTCTTGTTTAAACTAACTAACAGTGTGTGATGATTTCAGTCAAGTCAAGTTTTATTTGAAGTGCAAAATCACCAAAAGACATGGTCCCTATACACTTTACAAAATGCACTGAAATTTAAATAAACCATAAATTACAGAATGCATGTAATAAAACACAAGATAAAATACAATCAGAATAAAATCAGCACTTTTTATTTTGATTTATTATCTTAACAGGGATCATTACACTAGTTGGCCGTATTTCACGTTTTGCCACATCCTCTGGCAGTAACATGTAGTAAAGTAAAGACGTCTACCTCTATGTGGCTCTGTTTCTGCCTGTTGTCCTCCAGCAGACACCTGGTGGTTTCATGCAGTTTCCCACACTCTGCTTGAAGCTGCAGGATCGCCTTCTGCACGTCGTTCACCAGCTGCACGTCCTGATTCACGCACCGTCATACACACACAGCCGTGTTAACATATATGTTAGTGAAAGCTGGATGAAGTGTTGCATCGGCTAATGACATATCTTTCATGTTTACACGCACATCCTCCCACACACACAGTTACACATTACAAACACTACTTTCTGTCATGTCAGCTGCCAGGCTTTTAACCAGAACAAAGAAATATGACCACATTACTCCTATTTTAGCGTCATTACACTGGCTCCCAGTATGTTTTAGAATTGACTTTAAAATTTATTGATCACTTTTAAAGCTCTTCATGGCCTCTCGCCTTGTTATATTTCTGACCTTTTAGTCCCATACGCACCAGCACGTACCTCGAGATCCTCGGGCAGAGGTCTGTTGTCTGTTCCAGAGTCTCGACTGAAAACTAAAGGGGACAGAGCGTTTGCTGTCAGGGCCCCGAGGCTCTGGAACAGCCTGCCCGAGGAAATCAGGTCGGCTGAGTCAGTGAACTCTTTTAAGTCCCTTCTTAAAACATACTTTTATAGGAGAGCCTTTCCCGATCTTATTTGACTTTATTTTATCCCTTTTATTTTATTCTATTTTACTAATTTATATTTATCTTAAACGTGTATTTTAGTCTTTTCAGTGTTTTTCATGCTTTTATCTTGTATTGTTTTTTGTATTATTGTCTTTACACTTGTTAAAGCACTTTGTAACTTGTTTTTGAAAAGTGCTCTACAAATAAGGATTATTATTATTATTATTATTATCATGTTCCTCCAAAGGTTCTTAGTTCTGGGCTATAGTTCCTTTGGTGGAAACGCAGCTCTGGTTCCTTGAAAAGAGATCCGGGAACTTCAAAGTTGCAGGTCTTTTGGTGGAAACGTGGCTTTGGTTGAGAGACAAATTCATTATTATTATTATTATAATAAGCTGTAGGTCTCATGTGCACACACTGCAGCATCTTAACCAACCCCCCCCACCCCCCCACCCCCAAAAAAACCAGTGCCTTCAAACGTCAGGGCTGCAAATTAATCTGTTGAATCTTTTCTTGATTAATCGATTCATTATTTAGAGTTGTCCACAACTCAAAGAAATTCAGTTTAATGTCATAGAGGAGGAAAGAAATCAAAAGATATTCACATTTAATATATAGATATTGTATATTAGGAATGCACGATAATTATTGATCTCATAAATAATAGGCCGATATTGGGAATGTTTTTGGACGATGATATGCATCACTAATATAAATACTGTATATCTGCTTAGTCAAAGTGAAACAGGAACACCCTCTGGATCTCAGATGGGACATCAACGACTCTCAAGGTGTGGCTGATCCTACAGAGTTTAAACACCTGGTCCCTCCCAGTTAGCGTCTGAGGGGGAGTCCCCAGTTCCCGTCAGGCATTTAACCTTTACATATATGCTTATATTTCAAATTACCTAAAAGATACCAAACATCAATTTCATCTTCCAAAACGACGGGAAAAAAAACACAGTTTCTCTGGTTCTGCTGCTCGCCAGTCTGACCGTGTTACAGGACTCAAACATGTGAGTTCAGTAGACTGGTGACCTGACCTAGTGCATGCTGGGATAGGCTCTAGCCTCCAACAGGTGTGGGACATGGCTGGATGGAGCTAGCAGTGTTTTTACTTACTAATAGTGGTGAAATGTATCTGCCTACAGTCCAGAGCTCAGTAGACCTGTTCTTGACTTTAAACTGGGCGAATCAGCTCTGAATCAACACACACCTGCCCTCTGGTTAACTAAACTGTCTCCTTGTACTGATTTAGCTTGCCTCTATGTCCTTCAGTGCCCCTGCTCTGCCTCCTGTGTGCTGCTGGAGAAGGATGTTCACTGTGTCCTGCAGCTGCTCATAGTGTTGGAACAGACAGCTGAGCTTCCTGCCAATGTTTACTGTGCTGGTGGTGAAAGCTGATCTCTCTGTTCTCTGACCAAGGCCCTGGCTATCGCTCTGGTCCTGCCCTGCCTCGTCCTGCCCTGCCTCGTCCTGCCCTGCCTCGTCCTGCCCTGCCTCGTCCTGCCCTGCCTCGTCCTGCCCTGCCTCGTCCTGGAGGCTGCTGGACAGCTGAGAGGTCAAGGACAACATCATGTCCTCCAACATGCCTCGCAGGTCGTCCAGCTGGGGTCAGAGGGCAGTAACAGGGCAAAGATTAGACTGATATACAGTATGCAGGGCTGATACTGGGCTTTAATTGAAAACAGAAAATCTGATATGGTGGCTTGTAACTCAAACTAATTCAGCAGGCTGCAGATTCTGCACAGGGGCGGGCCAGTTTGGTCTTTATCACAAACCACCACACGTCTAAAGGAAAATCACAGCAGTGGCAGTTTAAACCGGCAGGTTGAAGGTCGATGCTGCCATCTGCAGACAGGTACCGTTAGAGCAGCTTATGTTTTTTAGCTGCTGCTTTGTGATTTACATTTTGCATTTAGAACTTAACGGAGCTATCTACCACTTTTAATTAACTAACGTGGAACATTTATGGATGATAAATGCTCAAACAGAAATGCAGTTTACGGCTCGGAAACATCAAATGCTTTATTTTGTATATTGAATAAAAAAAAATATTAAATTTTTCAGTTAAACCTGCAGGTTCAGAACTACAGGCCTGGCAGTGCTGCAGTGAGATAATAGTAGGTGGGCCTTCACATTAAGGACTGTGTGTCCTCGTTGGTTGATGGACCTTAGTTTGCTCCCCCTACCTGTCCCTCAGGAACATGACTTCCTGTCTGACCTGATCTTGTAGGTGTGGGTCTGTTGTTGTTGTCTCCTTAACAGTTAAAGCCTGTTCAGCCTTCAGCTGCTTCAGGTCGTCCTCCAGCTTCTGCACAGACTTCCTGGACATGATGGTACGAACGTGAAAGCACAGACCTGATCTACACACCCACAGAGGGCCGAAGCAACACACAGTGATTGTGGACTCACAGAAAAAACAAGTTTGGAGAAACCCGGTGTCTAACTGATGATCACTATCTCTCAAAGCGCAACATTAAAGTTACTGCAGGCGTATAATCTAGATCCTGGTCCCTCTCCCTGCGTGTCTTTACCTGAGGTAGGATATTTGCTGTCTGAGCACGCGAGAGGCAAAGCTGTCTGAATCTGCACTCCCCGGAGCTGCCTCTGTTTCACTGCCGTGGCTCGCTAGGTTCATAAACATGTCCTCCAAATTGTCCAGCTTTGGACAGACACATCACACCATCAGAACCAGAAAAGACAATATGTGATACTGAAGAGTTGGTCTTGGCGCTGGTGTTGGGTTTTTAGAAAGAGATGTGTTTTTCTCACCCACCTTTTCCCGGCCACTCATCAGGCTGTCTATTAAAGCTCTCTGCTGGTTCAGTTGATCCAGCAGGTTATTCGACGCCTCCCGTGATCCTAAATGTACAATATGACATTAGCAGTTAATACAAGTCTGGGAAGCAACAGATTCAGGCTTAATCTGCTAAAATCTCCAGCAGCCGTAAAAGGAATAAATAGTAACGCTAATTATTAAGGCAGTAGTTGGACTTAATTGCTTCCTTGCAGTTGCAGAGAAGATATCAGTCAAACTAGTGACCAGAGGCACAGGCAAAACAAATAACAAGAACACTGGTCTGACTTTGCTGAAACTGTTCAGGGCCTTTAAGTAGATAACTAAAAGAGCACAGTCAGGTTAGATCAGCTGATATAAAGTTACCCTTAGTGACGAGCTCTCTCAGGTGTGTCAGCTGTGACTGGTCCAGCTTCACTTCTTCCAGCGCCGCAACACGAGCTTCCAGCTTGTTGAACCTCTCCTTCAGTTTGCCGATATTCCTCAGGGCCTCCACCGTCTCTGGGTAGCGCTCCGAGCCGCTGGCATGGCGAGACAGCGGCGTAACAGCGGCAGCTTTAGGATGAGTCTGCGGTGCTTTAGGAGACGGGACTGAGGGAGCTTCTGTGTCCGGCCGGGAGTCCGTCACTTCCCGGAGAGGGGAAATGTGTCCAGGAATCGCTGGAGGACGAGGAGGAGAACTAGGAGCTGCTGGCCTGCCAGTGTCCTCGACAGGGTGGGAGGAGGAGGAGGGCGTGCTGGTATGAGGAGGTGCGGCGTGGACAGCGGGGAGGTCGCTGTTGACAGGTGTGTTTGTGGGTTTGAGCACTGGGGCTGGACCAACAAGCCCTGAATTCACAAGCTCCTGTGAGAAGGAAGAGGCAGGATACAGGAGGCGGAGACAATCTGCAGGTTCCTGGGTTATTTCAGGAAACTGTCAGGTTAATGTAACTGTTTGTTTAAATGTTCACCACCCTGAACTTACGGGGAGGTCTGGATGTTTGTCCTGTTGTCCACATAAACATGAAGACTGATTTTAGGGTTACCAGAATATGATTAACAGCAACTTTAGAAGAATCCTACTGTGAATGTTGATTGCTGTGAGAAAACTGTTGTGTCAGTCAGGCTGAATTTATTTTCCTCCATCATTATAGTTTTATGTATGTGTTCATTTTGATAAATTTCATCTAAAAACCACTCTTATGAAATGGCGCTCTGGCAAGTTTATACTGCATCCTTTCATGTCGTATTCTGATTGGTTGGTTTAACGCGGGTTGTAATTAGGGCCGGGCAAAAAAACAATAAAATGATAATTATCGCAATATAAAACGAATGTTTAATAAATATTTGATGGAATTCATTTGATTCACGAACAAATCAGCGTGTGATTTTTCTGTTAAGATATTAATTTATAAAAACATAAAATAGTTTAAAAACCACAATTAACCATCTGGTTTCTTCAACTTTCACTCAGCCTTTAAACCTGAAAGAAATAATGATTTTTCATTTATCCTGATAATTATCGATGTCGCATGAAAGTAACTTTTATCGTGGTAACATTTTTGGGCGTTATTGCCCAGTCAGCAGCACATGGTGAGAAATTGGTCCTGAATTTCCTCTTTTTTTTCCTTTTTTTAGATGATGCAACACGTGAAATAACAGACACGAAAGTATGTGGTGAAAAAAATTGTAATTGTAATGTAGTATCAGGGAGAGTATCCTTAATGATGACAGGATCATTTATGCTAGTAAATATATTGTTAGAATCACCAATAACACTGATATACTAGTTTATAATAAATTAATACATTTAAGATAACATAAAGTTGTTTGTTTTTTTGTTGTCTTGTTTGTACATACTGGTCGTCCCTTCTGTTTGTACTGTATGTTGTGTGATGTACGCTGGTGGCCCCATTGGGAAAGTTTTATATATAATTACAATAATATTAATATTGGTAACACATTGGTAACAATAATATTAACATATCTACATTGCTTTGCAACCTTTAACACCATCAACATTATCTCCAAAAAGGTATTTTCATGATACTTTATGATTATTATATAAGATACTAAATAGTTGATACTTGATAAATGACATTAGTAAATAGTACCAGTATCATTGTAATTGATAATAGTGTTAATTATACTATATACTAAAACTATGACAATATCAACAGATACTAATACTAACAATAAGAACAATAACAGCAGGGGCAATTAGTCTATATAGAAATATAATATGATATTAATAATATTAATAATAATGTTATTCATAATAATTTAAAAGGGTATTCAAGCAGTTTTCTTTGTGTTTCTGTTTATCTGTTTAGTTTTGTCCTTTAGTTTAGCCCCTGCAGGCTCATCTAATCCCGCTGCTATTATTATTGTTATGGCTGCCATCAGCTGTATGTTTAACATATACACCCCTGTAACAAAAAACAAAACAAACATATTTAGCTAGAGTCTTTTAGTGGTATATCAGTATGATAATAGTTATATAACATGAGTATAAAATAAGAGAGAGGGAAAATAATGACGGAAGGGAGAGAAACAGAAAAGGAGGAGAAGATTTGTGTTGGGTATTGAGTTGTATTGTTTAGGAAACGGATGTTCTAGCAGAGGTTTGTGGATATGCACGTGGCCTTAATCTTGGGGTAGATTTGAATGTATACCAGGTTACATTTAAAGCTGATATATTACTTGTTTTGTAAGCTGTTTTTCCAGCTAAACATATCCTGTAAGTAAATTATTCCAGTGAGTGATGTGACAAGAATTCTTGGATTTCCAGTTTTGAAAGATTACTTTCTTAGCAACAATTAGAGAAATGAGTAGTGTGTTTTATATTTATTTGGTGGGGTAACTTGTGTAGTATCTCCCAGCAGGCATAGTGATGGGGACAATGGTCCTAAATGTCTGATGCTGAAGCTCAGAATCGGCCGTCAGTTGCGGTTTTCTCAATCAACGACCACCGTTTTGGATCGACGACTAAAGATTCTTTCTCCGTTTCTCTCACTATCATCAACTTTTAAAGACATAGTTTAAAGATAACACAAAGTCTCGCTCGAGACAGTTCTCGCTCTGAAATCTGGTGAGAGGAGAGTTGTTGCAGGACGACACCGGGTGGACGTGAGTCAGAGTCGGAGCAGGCTGGATCCCTGATCCTTCATGACACCCCTAAAAGCCCTCTCGTATCCTACCTCCTGAAGGTCTTCTTTCTCGCTGAGCAGAGTTGACTGCATGACGTCCCAGGTCACACACTGACTCAGCTGATCTGGACCTGGATCCTTTGGAAATGTGGCCCTCAGAGTTCTCTGTCACAGCGAGAGCAGAGGAGGTGAAACTTAAATCTGTGTTTTTTGGAACAACTTTTGAAAAAGAGAAAAGAAAACCAAGAGTGTTATTATTTTGTAACCAACCGGCAGTTTTTACAGTGTGAAGTCAGATATCGTGTTGCTCACCACAGTTTCCTCCAGGGCGTCCACACGGAGGCAGCACTTCTCCACGGCGGTGACAGTCTCTGCTTCAACACCAGTCATCTGGGCACAGGAGAGAGGGAATACCCCACTGCAAGAGCGTAATTTCCACTGGGAATGTGGAGGACATGCCCCCCTCACTTTTTACAGTGTCAGAGTTACAGCTGCCGTAATCCAGACGAGAGATGAGAGGAGCTGGTATTTATCAAGCTTCTCAAAGTGCCATTTTAGTCTTAAGTGCTGAGAATTCATGAAATTTACTCCTACTTTTAAACTTAAGAATAAAAAGTTATCGAATTTCTCAAAGCTAAGAATTGCTCTTACTCTCCCAGTTATTTAAGACGGCTCGAGAGGCCTCTCAAGTGGTTTGGAGCTGCCAGTAGGGGCTTGTGATGGTGCTGTGGAGACATGCACAAATATTTCAGGAGAAGAAGAGTTTCTGAATTATTTGTCGACGCGCAGTTAATTAGACGGTCGGACAGCGCAGGCATAAACTTGGTCAGTGAGGGATACTCGATCACAATACTGCACGTTCAGCAGAACAGTTCGCCCGTTGCGATCACGCATGTCTGCTGCGTCTTCTAAACAAAGAAGTGAGTTTGCTCCCGTGTGCCGACAACGTTTTGCGGGAAACGGCGATGATAGGTTAGATTTGCCGAAAAGTTGCAATGATGGGCCAAAATTACAAGTTGCGCTGAATTCACAGGGATTTGTTGGGATTTGTGTTTTGTTTGTTTGGGACTGATGATCTCCTCAAATGGAAATATTCTTAAATCTCAAAGTAGTTCCCCAGATGACTCTCCTTTCACCAAAGTTGAATTATACCATTTCACACATGAACAAAGAGAGGATTATTTTGTCAGTAATCCCGTCTCCAGTCTCACCTTCTGCTGGTGGCGCAGCTCCTTTATCTCCTCCTTCAGACTGTCTTTCTGGTTGTGGAGCTCCTGTATGAGCTGCATGGCCTACAACGACAACAGACTCTTCACGATTACTTTTTCTTCGACATGTACAAAGTTAAAAACACAAAAAGCTTCTTATTGCAGAAATGAACGGCCTAAAGGACTGTGATCTCCCAGAGGGATCTGAGGAAACTGATTTGAGAAGTCATTTAGAAACTTTGATGTTCCCCAACAACATAGAAAATGTCTCAGGAATCTGACTCCTGTGACGGCCCCTCTGACCTTTGGCCCCCCTCATGAAAGCAGACGGGACATCAACAAGCTGAGGGTGAAGCACAATTACAGATGGCACAAATCAAGCTGTTCCACTCGTCTCACATGTGCTTTTCTCAGGCTGGTAATCTGTTGACCAGGTTATTTAAATTTCCTGCGAGACTGTCAGGGTTTGTTGGCGGGGTAAACGATTACATTTGGAACAATTAGTAACATATCGTGAGTGTGTGTGTGTGTGTGTGTGTGTGTGAGAAACAAAGGAAATTCCTGAGCTGCATGTGAGGTTGTGTTTAACTTGTGTCAAATGTGCCCGGGCGTGAAATGATGCATAGCGACCCCACAGAGCGTCACAGTGTGCACCAGAATGACTAACAGCTTGTTAATAAGTGCAGTCACACACACACTATGGATAATGTATAGCGGCCCAGTGCTGTTATTCAGTGTATAAAAATGTCAGATGCACTTATCTGACAGTAACGTGTACTCGCTCCAGTGCAAAAGTACAGCGCTGTACACAGGTTATCCTCCAGATAATATTCTGACTCACATTATTAGTTAGACTGTCCCTTTATGGATTGTTTTAATAACTGCACCACTGAGAGAACATGAGGCTTGATTGAAGTCTTGCGCTCAACACCATTCAGGTGTCGGTCTCTACCTTTTTCCACGCGGGCTAAACGGGCCCTGAGTGGACAGAGGCTATTATTTAAAATCTGAACAGCAGTAGGGCTGCAACCAGCAATCACCATAAAACTTCAATTTAAAGCCAAGTCCCAATTAGACGCCTGTCCCTTTTACTGGCCTGGTGTGGCTGCAAATAAACACAGGTCTCAATGAGAGGCCTGGTCTGGTTTTATAGAAGCCCACCTGATCGCCCGCTTGAGCTAAGCTGCATGCAAATACAAATTAGGGATGGAGCGGTTTTACCGGTTTAATGATAAACCAGGGTAAAATTCCCAAAGGTTAGTATTACTGTACAGATTTTAATTATCATGATAACCATGTTCGTTTCCTGCACTTTGATAAACTCTCTGTAAATACTGTCCAGCATCAACCAGAGTCAGCGACGGTCTCCCAGAAGCAGGCGCAGCATCGACGTGGGTTTGTTTGGGTCCATGACAACACGGTGGAAGTATTTTGGTTTTTATGTGCTGTGCTGAAACTAAAGTGAAGCAGGATGAGTTAACCTTAGCTTTGGTTTGTCTGTCTGACTTGCTAACAGCTTGTAAACTGAAGCTCTCCACATTTGATATGGTTTTCATATACACTGGCTGTTATTATTTCAACATTCACGCGGACAAAAAGTTCATTTTATTTGTGGTTTTCAACATAAAACTTGGTAACCGTGATAATTTCGGTCACTATAATCACGATGTGAAATGTTCATACTGTTTCATCTTAAATATAAATGTTTAAACTTTTGTCAGTATGGACATGACTCACAGATATCACTTAGATTCTCCACAGTTCAATCATTTAGTTCATTTTACAGTGACAATGAGCACCAAAGGATTTACCGGCACGGGAAAGCAATTAAAGGCTCTGTCCTGAATATAGGCGGTAGTATTTTCATTATTGATTATTTTCTCAGTTAACAGATTGATATTTTGAACAATAAATGTCAGACTACTGTAGAAAAACACCCATCACAGTTTCCTAAAGCTCAAGTTAAAGTTTTAGTTCCAATTTATTATTGAAGACTTACTATTTTATTGAAGATTTACTATTTTTACTAGAAGAAATGACATAAATGATTGAAATAGACAACTAAAGGACTAATTGGCTGCTCATGTCAGCTCTAAACTATGCTGAGTGATGGCGAGTGGAATTACTGCAATAAACTATTGTTGCAAAAATACAAATTTAAAGATCCAAAACTCGAGGGATCCTTTACAAAACTCCCTGACGTGGCACAAGATATTCTGCTTACTAACAAACAAAACAGGACCAGAAAAATGACCTCCCGGGCAGGAGTGACAACGCAGCAACAGAAAAGGAAGTGGCCTTAAGCTTCTTCGTGGTTACTCTTTAAGCCGCCGCCTCGTGTAGAACGGTCAGCCATTAACTGGAAGCTGAGTCACCGGCCTGAACCCCCTGACATGTGGCGGCGTATACTGCAGTTATTCTGCCGGGGCCAAACAACCGGGGCCTTCGGAGGGAAGACGCTGGTGGACGAGGGCACGCCGGGCCGCCTCATCACAGTTAGGTCAGCGGATACGGCAGATGACCCGAACGATCCCCGCACAGAGGACATGAATGATTCAGACGCAGCATCACCTGCACCTGCCTGATGTCCTGCTTTTCACCTGAGCGCTATTCATCCCCTGACAACCAGAGTCATCTCCGCAGGGGACTAATTACCCCCTATCAGGCAGAGAGGGGGACGGAGGGAGGCAGAAAGGGGATGAGATCAGGGGCGAGATAGGAAAAGGTGATGGCAGGTCTGGACAGTGTCACATTAAAACGCCTTCAACACATCCCGCTCTGATCAAACTCTGCAATTCACTCTTTGTCTTGTTTTAAGATGACAGCTGACAGTTCTGCGTAACGCTGAACATCCTCGCCTCGTCCTACCCCTCGTTTGGGAGTGGCGTGACAGAAACCTGAACAGAGGTCATTTGAGATGTCAGGGTAGCGCCCGTCCCCTTTTGTCCTCTGCTCTTTCATCAGCGGCTTAATGCCACTCTGAAACGTTCGCCGCAGCCCGCCAGGGATGGAAGAGAAGAATAAGAGCGTTCGTACGGCTGGCTCAGACTCAGAGATCCTTCAGTCTGATCCTTTAAAGAAAATATGTAAACAAACAGCCAGGTGAGCAGGACGAGGAGGGAAAACAAATCAACACTCAGAAAGCAGCCGTCCTGCTCTCTCTGGGTAACATTTTGAAGCTTGTTGCGCCGATGGTGGCGGCCTGATCGGTGATGTCACAGCGGGTGTTTTCATTGTCTGACAAAAGCAAAGCGCCTGCTGTGACATCACTGCTCGGGGGTGTGGCCTCTAGTGCAACACAGCTGCACATTTCAACGCTAGATAACAGTGAAGCACAAGCTGGTCAAAATAATGACTAGCTTCTCGTGTGTGTTGTGAAGGATGATGACAAATTTTGATTAATCGCAACAATAAATTGATTAATCGCTTATCTTTGAAGAAGAACGTGTGACGGTTCCAGTTTATTTTTTTTTTAAGTAAGGAACTGCTGCTTCTAAATCTAATCAAATATAAAATATACACACTATCAAAAATAGAATAGGGTACCCATTGTGTATATCTGTATATGTTTCCAAGGTATGCGCATCTATCTGATTAAATAATAATAATACAGTATACGATCAGTGGTGGATGAAGTATTCAGAAAATGTACTATTTAACTTTAAAGTAGTATAAGTGAAGTACTTAAAAATGTATGTAATTTTAGATTAAAAAAAAGCATTTACTGTTGCAGCTGGTTGAGGTGGAGCTAATTTTAACTATGTTATTTACTGTTTGGGGGTTTAATCTATTACACTGCATCGTATTTTAGTAGTAAACTCTTAATCTGTAAAGTAAATCATAACGAAATGTAGTAAAGCAGCAAAAAATGAAAAATACTCAAGTAAAGTACAAGTACCGCTAAATTTGTAGTTACATTCTACCGCTGTGTGTAATACTGATAATATATCTGATAAGAAGTTACATATGTAAAAAAATTAAATAAAATACAGTTTTTAATTTAGTTAAAGAAAACAAATAGCGACATTTGTGGAATATGACATATTAATGAGTTCTTAAACTAAAATCAAGTTCATATTGATACATGAACTTTAAAAAAATGTCCAAATATGCTGGCATATTTTTCAAACTGAGGCTTTTTCTTCCACTGAAAGCACAAGTTTTCATGAGCTGCACCTAAATTACTGTGACCCTTCATGTGTGACGTCCACTACAGCTGACAGATATTTGGATGCCATTTTGAGCCATTTCAGTTACCGTGTCCCATACACCACGTGGTGGACCCCCAAAGTCTACAAATCCATTTGATTATTATGTGTGACATCATTTTGATATACTGCATCAATAATTCAAATTAGGGGACAGAAGTGGAGATACACCAAGCACCTCAGCAATAACTGTCAATTCCTTTAATTCTCAGAACACAAGACCATTAAAAAATATTTTTCAACTAAATGTAGGATGTTAGAAATACTTTTAGCCAGATTTAATTATATATTTCGTGTACTGAAAATACATCTGTCCACTCCAGTGGACATTATGCGCCAAAGGGTTTCAAAGGGTTCTGCCTTTTTTATGTATGTTTTATTTAAAACAAAAACATTTTAGGACCTACATTGAGTTCCAGTGATATGCATAGTTTTCTGCTTGTTTAAAAGTAAAAACAAATCATTCATTCATGAAAGGGTAATGTCATAGGGTGCAAATGCAATACTTTTCAAAGTAGTGAAACTACGGATTTCACATAAGAAAGTTATACGTGTCGTTTCACAGTCCAAGATAAACACTCCCACTGATCGTCCACAGCGACAGTCTTCTGAAGCTTACTGAATGTAATATCTTTCACAGCGCCTGTATAATGTAGCACAGATGCTCAACGACAGACTCTGTGACCTTATTCAGATTCACTCCACCTTAAATACATAACATGAGGAAAAACATCTTATAAGGGGTAAAAAAAAAACTTGAATGTACCAGTTGTAGTTTGCAGAAGTCCACAGGATATATATATGTATATGTATATATATATATATATATATATATATATATATATATATGGAAGAGGACTTCTAAACCAGTTTTTAAATGAGTGTCTTCTGAAATCTGTTTAAATTGTACTTTTTCCATTTGCTAAATGTCTCTATTTATTGTATTTTACCTATTCAACCAATGCCAGACAGATGTGATGAATATCTTGGGAACACTGGGTAGATACTTTGGTTTTTCTGTATGTAGGTTAGAAATTATACTGTAGATTGTAACGTTATGTGCTTTATTTAATTGTAGTATTTATCCAGAAGATATGTTAGTACTTTAAATATATGTCTACTATTTCCGGGAGCAAAATGTGCTTTTTTATCCACCTGCCAAATGTTCAAAGTGGGATTTTTTTCTATCTACCAGATCTTTGCATATTTTACCAGCTTTTGGATGCTATTTGCTTAGTATCTGGGCCCCTTACCAGGGTGTTTCTTTTTCTGCAAATCTGCGTTATTTCTTATGATTGTACTCGCAATTTAATGTTAAAAATGTTTTAATATTCAACCTTGTTTAAGTTCTTATTTTAACTATTATTAACTGAGTCGCTGTTCTCACCTTGGACACGTCGTCCTCGCAGGTCTGGATGCGGGAGCGGAGCCTCCACTGGCTGTCCGCTGCGGGGCCGGAGGACGGGGTCGGGGATGAAGAGGAGGCTGTCCGCTCCGCCTGCAGCTCGGTGCCGGACCTAACATCCTTCTCCACCGGGGAGATGTCCCTCTGAACACGGTGCTCCTCCTCCTCCGCGCGCTGCTGCCGCTGCTCGGTGACACCCACTACCAGCACCACCGGAGCATCAGGGTGCCCGACGCCGGGAGGAGTGTCTCTCCATCGGGTCTCCATCTCACGGATGTCCAACTGCTTCAGGACGGCGTGGAGCAGGGCGTGTAGGGCGCCGAAGTTGACCGCTCCCCTCTGAGTCCCGATGGATAAGTTCAACAGCTCGTACAAGCTGATGTTCTCCTCCGACATGTTTGTTTGTGAGCGGAAAACAGCCGTTACTTAGTCAAAGTTACGCTAACGGTAGCTAGTTGTCAAACTTAAAATCTCATGTTTAGCTATTTAGTCCGCTTTTGACGACCCCTGTCTTCATTAACAGATAAAATATACTATTTAAAAGTATAAACAAATAGATTAAAAGGTCACATTTGTGGGTGTTTAACATTAATAACCGTGTCCAGCATCCCACCGCTGGTAATCTCGGAGGTTGGTTGTAGAATGTCATGTTCAACAGAAAACAGCAACCTCGGCTGGACCGGCCGCGTCAATTACACAGATTTACCGGAAATGCTGCTAGTAACCCTTCAAAGTCAAGTTTTTGTCAAAAAACAATCTGAGGAACGCGGTGCTTAACTTAAATAAAAAAAAGTACAGTTGTTCACTACTTAACACAGTTACGCTAATTAGTGCCACGTTAAGTGTCGGGCCTGTTGATGACATGTTCCAAATTGGTGTTCGCCAGCTTTTATTTTTAAGCGAGTGACCGGATGTCGTGTTTAGTATTCACTCTACCTTCACGATACGTTCCCACGTTGGAGACTCGCGGCGTTACCGGTCGCTAGGCAACAAGCGGCGACCGTGCTGCGTTTACGGAAAGAGCAGAATTATCGGATGTGCAAAAAAATTCCCTTCTATTTTTTATGATCATACAGGCAATAAAATTATTATTTAGTTTGGTAATTTATTTTATTCATAACGCCAAATAGTCAGAAAACAAATCGTAATTCGGGTTGTTTTAAGAATGATTACAGAAAAATATATTTAAGGCAAGTCTTTTTGGACAGCAGTTCAACAACAAAGCAAATCAAAGTGTATTGTATAAAACATAAAAGCATTATAGGAAAAAAAAATGAAATACAATTATTAGACGGCTGGAATAGAACTTAAAAATAGGACAGTAGAAATTAGTGTGCAGTGTGTGAAGTTATTCATGTAAAGCCTTAAATTTGATTTAAGCAGCAGACCTGCAGTTTTCTGGAAGTTTGCTCCAGATATATGGAGCACAAAAACTGAAGGCTGATTCCACATGTTTAGTTTTAACTCAGGGGACAGAAAGCAGACCTGTCCCAGACAACCTGAGTGGCCTAAATAGTGTTATATATTTATTAGATTTAAATACTATTCAACTCTATTTTACATTATATTTGTGTATTTTTATAAAGGTTCTCTGTCTGTAAAGATTTTCTTAAAGGAAATTATCATATGAAGTCACTCCCGTTTTTTATTCATCTATTTTAACACAATCTTTTTTAATGTTAATTGCCTACTTATCAAACATTTATTGTGCTGTACAAGTTTAACTTATTTACTTACAACCGTTTATTGCAGATATGTGACTTATGTCTGTGATATATTGTGCTGTATTTCTGGAACTTACACGCCTGATGCTCATCACAAATGAAGTTCCTAACAGATAAATAAAGTTCTTTTAATTGAATTGAAGTTCTCGCACATCAAAAGTACAATTTACAGCGTTGTAAACTTTTAAAACACAATTGTGTCATACTGAGGTAAAGATATTCAGAAAATAGACCAATATCAATGTTAACCACCCACAAGAGGTGTGTAATCTAATTTAAAAATCACAGCACACTACTGTTCAAAATAATATTTATTGATAATAAAAACAAGCAAGCAAAAGTTTGTGTGCCATTCATAATTACTACATTCAAGTATAAAATCACCTTCATATCACCCATGCATTTTTCCCTTAGTATCCTTGAAATTGATTGCATCCATTGCAGTTGCATCAAGAAACAAAACTTGAGCAAACACAAACCTCTCGTGTTTCATTTAGCAATAAATTAACCAGAATAATGTCCTGCAACTCATAAATTGACACTTTAAACAAAAAGGAAACGACTACAGCATCTAAGATATAGTTCTTTGTTACCCTTTCCCACTGTCACAGTAAACAAACATGTCTGATAAGGCCTGTATTTAGCACTGTGTTGGTTTGGCATCAGATCCGTTTGAAATGATTTGAGGGGAACTTCACCAAAGTGCAACAACACAGATAAACTAAAAAGAAAAAGGACACGACTGAGAGTCTTCGGCTACACTAGCAGCCGGATGTAAAGGAACCAAAGTGTGAGAAAAGTTAAAGTTAAGGTCCGCCGTTTGTTTTACAGTGAAAACTGGACTGACTGTGGTAACTGAGTCAAGGTGTTTTGCTGTTTGAGGATATGCAAGCAGAGAGGTAAACAAGTTAAAGGGACACTCCACTGATTATAATGGACGCACATTGGACCTTATTTTGGAATAAATGATGTACGGTAGTCAACGGCCAGAGACAACAAATGTTTTGATCCAGTTTGAAGTGTCCTGAATCACACGCATGATGTTTGTTTGAAATATAATTCTGAGTCAAGAAAGCCGCAGTTTGTTGTAAAACTAAGTATAAGACTGTGAAAATACGTAATAACAAAGACCACAAACCCAAAAGTCGCGTATGTGACGTCGTAACCGTTTCCCTTAATGACTGCGCTAACGCCAAAGAGCTTCCCTGTGTAGGTTAAAGGACCAGGAGTCGTTGGATTAAACACATCGAGTGGGATACATCTGTGTGTGGAATATAGCTGGGCTACCTAGCTAGCTAACGTATTTACTAACATATTTTTCCGAAATAAGGTCCCATGGGGCCGAAGCTCTCTATATTCATTTACTTGTCATGGTTAGTTTCTTTAGGCCTGATATATAATGTCCTTTACGGCTTTCCCAGCTTGGCTCTTGAATCCTTAAAAAGGTGCCCTGTGGAGTTTAATTGTTGTTTACGTCTATGTTTACGAGCTAGCAGTCTTCTTCCTCAGTGCTTTTGTTGGCATATTGCTACATATTTATTGGCACCTGCATGCTCGCACACATACAGCAACTAATACAAACAAAATGGTCGACTCGCTCTTAAAAACACTGCTCTGCAGCACTCCTAGTGGTGAAAAGGTCCGCAGGGCACCTTTAACAGAAAGCCCATGTTACAAAGTGGCTGTGTGGCGTTTGAAAGACAGACTCATTAACCATGCAGGGAGGCTTTAACATAAGATGTTGTCAAGATGCATTATGGGAATTGTAAAAACAAATGCTTGTTTTGGACCTTTTTTGTTTTTAATTTAACTCTCGGGACTCAGCTTTAGCAAAACTAAATCACTGTTCGGCCACTTTAAGCCACTTGCAAGGTCGGCAAAGTGATTATAGTCCATTGAATGTCTGCACCAAATTTCTCGCAGTGCATCCAATAAAAATAGTTAAATGTGAACCAAAGCGGTGGAGCGACTTGACTGACACTCATCTATACAGCCGTGCTGCTAGAGTAGCTTGAAACTCTCTGTTGTCACCAATGTAAAACTAAACATTCATCTCGTTGTCCCTCTTTTACCCTTGAAACATCCAGCGCTTATTAGGAGCTGAGAAAAAGTTGTAATGAAGAGAAAAGGACTTTTTCTTCGGGGCACAAAGTGATTTCATCTGAACTAAACGCAGTCACCCACTTGTAATCATGAAAAGTTTCCTGGAAAGCAGAGTCACGGGTCGCCCTCGATCTGGATCTTATTACAACTAGACTGGTGACAGAGCACGTTAGTGTGTGAAGGAATGAGAACAGAATGAACGAATGAAAAAGAGTTCAGTTTTGTGGCAATGTTTCCCTTTTAACTGATTTGTTCCCAGTTTGGTGTAATGTTTTTTTTAAATGTAAGTCACTGTCGGATGAGCAGATCCGAGGAGGGCTGGGCTCGTAAAGGACTTGAGATCTGTTGTTGTACAAGTTAAGTTTAAGGTTGTGAGATAAAGAGCAACAGCAACATTATTCGTGCAAGAGATGGAGTGGAAGTGGGACTTTTAAAAGGACAAGGCTGGAATTATTGTATTTTAATGCCGTCACCAAATCCCATGAAAAGACCAAGCAGCCTGACTTCCTGTCTGTGGCTCTTAGTTCCAAGCCCATTGGTTCCTACTGAAGAAAAAAAAAAAAAGGGCAGCTGCTCGCTGTAGTTTCTATCAAACAAACACAAGGAAATAGTGCATTTGTTGGGGACTACTTTCAGCGGTGGATGAATCCACATGTGGAGCTCTAGTGAGTGTTTGAGGCGGCAGGTCGGTGTGTGCGTGGGACCGAGTCGGTATAAACTACTACTAAGTGTGTGTTCACGGTGGTGAAGAAACGTGTGACCCAGTGCAGCAGCGAGGCTCTCTGATGGGTTTTAATAGTTTCTAGAGAACAAAGGAGCTCTTCGGCTCAGAGGGAGAAGAGACATCAGGCTGTGAGACACACACAGGAACTGAATCGTTCACCGCTGTTTTGGTCTTTTCATGGGACTTTTCACGAGAAGAAAAATACAGAATTTCGCTAGTTTTTGTGGTAAAACCTACAATAAAGTCAGTGTTATTGTCCAGGATCTCTTCACACAGACACGATCAGTGGGACCCGCTTTTTATTTGATTAACCAACCTCTATCAACCTCAGTGAAGTCTGTTTGAAGCACGTTTTCATGATTTCTCCAGATACATTTTAAATGTATGTGCTTAAAATAATAGAAGTGGGGTCAACAATGAACCACAATGAGATATATCTTGTGTGTAACACAGTACCTCCTCATGCTGTTTGAATAAGTACAGAGAGATGTTGAGAGTGAGATTAAAGTTTGGTTCCCGCAGCCACCGCCGGGCTTCGTACAGACCCAGACGGCAGATACCCCCAGTGTCAGTGTCAGAGTTTTTTCCCAGCTGTGGAGGGTGAAACAGCTCCAGCTGCGCCCTCCTCATCCTCACCAGACGCCACGTCAGATGCTGTCGTAGTCCGATTCTCGCTTGCTGGACTCGGCCCGGCCCTCGGCCACAAAGAAGGTCACGGTGCCCAGAAAACCCACCACGACCAGGATGAGCAGCTGCCAGTGCAGCAGCAGGTAGTTACTGTAGAAGAAGGCCAGAGCGGCCATGATGGACTGCAGAGAAACAACAACACGTTACAACAGATCGGGGGGAAACTGGTCCTCGAAAAAATACATTTGTACTCCAAATATCTACACAATAAAAGGCCCATTTACACGTCGTGAGCATTTATACTTGTGCGTTTGTGTCACATGTTGAGTTTCTTCTTCTTCTTTGTTGGTGTAGGCTGCTACAAATATTAGCGACTGAAACTGAGCGGATGGTGTTGGGAGTTGGAGCTGATGCATGTCGAACAGCAGATACTTTTAGTGAAATTACTAAAATGCAGAAACAAGAGCAGGCGTCAGAGGAGACGGTATGTACGACCTTTGAACCGGTTGAGGTAGCAGAAGAAAGATGAGCCGGAAATGTGTAGGAGGAAAATTTCCGCTCATATTCTTTAATTCAAATCCAGTACAATGACAAAATAAATAAATATATATATCAGAGGTTTAGAGGAAAACGTCTTTAAGGCTTCGTTTGAAGAGTGCTGAATAGTTTGCATGTATTGTTGCATTTCATTCATAAAAACTTTTAATAGAGGTTTGCTGTTACAGAATTTACTTTTGTGAAAGGGAAATTGTGTTTATATAAAAAAGACTTATGATATAAGATTGTTTTTGTTGTAAAACGCAGACTTCATAAAAGTCAAACAGCACATCTTTGGACAGAAATCTTACAGCAGATTTATTTGGCGGTAAAGTCTTTCCAAACAGTAACAGTACGGGGACGGCTCCAAAATAAGTTTATTGTTGTTTCACGATCTAGTCCACAGAAAGAGAAGAGTTAATGTCAAAGTCACTTCTTTGTCTTCGCAAATAATGTTTTACTAAGTAGCACCGATGGTTAGAAACAGACATCTAGAAGTTTGTTTGTGATCAAGTATCTTTGTTCTGCTTGACATTAGGGCTGGACAATAAATCAATAACGATAATTATCACAATATAATTTTCCTCAATAACAAAACAACAAATGTTCAATAAATGTTTAATTTAAATCAGTGGAATCATGAACGAATTAGCGCAAAATTTTCTATTTAGATGTTTATTTTGTTGAGGAAAAGGGATTGAAAAAAAAAAAGATTTTACTTAATTTTACTCGTGCATAGTTGTTGGAAACAGATTTTATCTTAATAGTTCTGAATGTTCTGCCTCAGATTTGTGAAGTGATCCACTTAAAATTTCACTCAGGAGCAAAAATCAAACTTTAAACTAGGACGATATGGGCAAAAATGTTATCACGATAAAAAGTTTCATATCTTTCGATAATCATCACGATAAGTATCAAATCGTTAATTCTTTTGAGTTTAAAGGCTGATTTTTGCTACTGAGGGAAAGTTGAAGAAACCAGATGGTTAATTGTGGTTTAAACTCGTCTTTATAGTTAATACTTGAGGCCAAACAGTGGATCACTTCACAAATCTGAGGCAGAACATTCAAAACAATTATGATAAAATCTTTGTCAACAAATATGCACGAGTAAAAGTAAACAAAATAAGTCCTAATTAGTGTATTATTCAAGTGAATAAAATCAAACATTTATTGAATATTTATTGAACATTTGTTATATTGTTTTTGAAAAAAAATCATATTGCGATAATTAAAAGTTTATGTTTTATTGTCCAGCCGTACTTTAAACTTGAAAGAAATAATGATTTGACATTTATCCTGATAATTATCAATATCGACCGATATAAATTTTATTATCGTGATAACATTTTGAGACATGCCGCTCTGACATACTTGACATTTTAAACAAATCTTTCCCAGTAATGGATTGCTTATTAGACAGTAATGATGTCTTTTTGAAAGAGGGACCTGGTCCTTCTGTTCCGGTTTGAAGGGCTGAGTAAAAGACATTTTCCCTATTATGGTTTTATTTGACAACAGACAGGGAGAAACAAGAGGCTCAGCGTTACCCTAAAATAAGTACATCACATAACATTTGTGAATGGCGTCCGGTACAACAGCAAACTCTTTTGGGGTTTTATACAAAGAGTAATTCATTAGAAAACGTCACTGTGACCTGTAGTTTTTTTGCGCGGGCTGCGGCGTAGATCTGACCCAGACGTATAAATTGGTCTTTGGACTCACCTGTATGAACTTGAAGGCAGCGAAGGCGGGGGCACTGTTGTCGTGGAACGTGAAGCCGATGATGCTGAGGAGCTGAGTGTTGAAGCAGCTGTCGCCCAAACCGAGCAAGAAGCTGCACAGCATCGCCACCTCGACACTGAGCCACAAAAGCGCAAAGCGTAAAAACACATTACGTAACCAAGTCCTGTCAGCTGGGTCCAGACTCAGTCTGAACAAACAGATTCCAGACATCAGAAAACCTCTAAACCAGGATTAAACAGTTTCATGACGCTCATAACATCAGAGGAAGTCAAGCTCAAGAGCTACTCGTTCCTGAATCTGAAACTTACCTGAGACATCAAGCAAAGATCAAATCAATTTACAAAACAGGACTGTAGGTAATTTTACTTTTTACGGCTCACATGACAAGACCAGGACAAGACCAGGACATGACCAGTCTGACCAGGACAAGACCAGGACAAGACCAGGACAAGACCAGGACAAGACCAGGACATGACCAGTCTGACCAGGACATGACCAGGACATGACCAGGACATGACCAGGACATGACCAAGACAAGACCAGGACATGACCAGTCTGACCAGGACAAGACCAGGACAAGACCAGGACAAGACCAGGACATGACCAGTCTGACCAGGACATGACCAGGACATGACCAGGACATGACCAGGACATGACCAAGACAAGACCAGGACATGACCAGTCTGACCAGGACATGACCAGTCTGACCAGGACATGACCAAGACAAGACCAGGACATGACCAGGACAAGACCAGGACATGACCAGTCTGACCAGGACATGACCAGTCTGACCAGGACATGACCAAGACAAGACCAGGACATGACCAGGACATGACCAGTCTGACCAGGACATGACCAGTCTGACCAGGACATGACCAAGACAAGACCAGGACATGACCAAGACAAGACCAGGACATGACCAGGACATGACCAGTCTGACCAGGACATGACCAGTCTGACCAGGACATGACCAAGACAAGACCAGGACATGACCAGGACAAGACCAGGACAAGACCAGGACATGACCAAGACAAGACCAAGACAAGACCAGGACAAGACCAGGACATGACCAGGACATGACCAGGACATGACCAGGACATGACCAGGACATGACCAGGACATGACCAGTCTGACCAGGACATGACCAGTCTGACCAGGACATGACCAAGACAAGACCAGGACAAGACCAGGACAAGACCAGGACAAGACCAGGACAAGACCAGGACAAGACCAGGACAAGACCAGGACAAGACTAGCCTGGAGGAACAGACTTATTTAAACCTTCTTTATAAAACTGATTCTCTGGTCTAGTTTTAGACTTCTGTGCTCCAAACTTCAATTTGTTCAGTGATTCCAATAGTAACACAATCTTGAATTTCTCAAGGGATCCTGATCTAACTGGTAATCCTGCTTTGTGAAACCCCCCCGGCTGTGGTCTTTGTACCTGGGGGTGATGTAGGCCTGCAGGTCTGTTCCCGCCTCCGGGGCTATCGGAGCGTCGCTGGCAATGTTAAGGAAAATCAGGTAAAAGGCGACGAAGTGAGTGATGAGGCCCAGCAGCACTACCGGGTTCCTCCCAAACCGGTTGCACTTGTTCAGCATCCCAAACACGCCCCCTCCTAGCCAATGACAGAGCAGAGAGAGAGAGAGAGGAAATAAATGAGCTGCTGCCTCGTGACAGACTGCATCATATATAAGGAGAAGGAACAAAGGACTCACCCAGGATCTCGCCGATGCCGATGAAAATGCCGGAGATGCCGATTAAACCCTTCGCATCTTGGCCAAACCGGGTCATGGCGCCGATGCACGTCCCGTAAACCCCGCTGTAAAAAGTGAGCTCCAAGCCTGACAGAGCAGATGCGTGCATTTTAGTTTGACTTCCACCTGCAACAACACACCTTAACTTATTCTCCCCTCACCCACCTGTGTATCCTATGGAGACGCTCAGCAGCAGCATCTCTTTGGTGAAAAATATTTTACAGGCTTTAACTGCAAAACAAACAAAAGGTTGGGTGTTAACACGTGAGCCAGTTCTGTTTTCTCCAAGTGGAGGTTGTTTTAGTAAAAACTTACCAAAAGCGTCCAGAGCTTGCGAGCAGAGACCAGGGCGAGGTGGGCTGCAGAGAGAGGGGGCGAAAGTCATAAAGACATTAAGATACTGATATTACTGCATCATCTTAAATGTGTGTAAGTTTTAGTGGCATCTGGTGGTGAGAGTTGCTAACTGCAACCAGCGGCTCACGGTGCATTCACGTGCTCCTCCGGCGGTCCCATTTGCCAAGTTCCCGGGAAGTCGTTCTTCCGACTTCTGCGTGTGTTCATGTGCTCTTAATTCGGAATGTGGAATCAACATTTGCGCCGACATACGCATTATCAGAGCAAATAAACAACACGCAGACATCTAGTTCACTCTACATGGACTTCTTTTTTTTACTTCTAATAAACCAGACTACTACTACATATTCAACGTAGTGATGAAATGCGCTCTGTATGGCAGTTTGTCCGTTTGGGCTACTGTAGAAACATGGTGGTGCAACATGGTGACGTCCCCTTAAGAGGACCCGCGGTCTATGTAGACAGAAATGTCTCATTCTAAGGTAATAAAAACATTCACAAAAACACAACGTTCATTATGTGACGTCTTTATACGCCACTGAAAACATAGTTGTGGATCTTATATTGAAATTCTGTACAATTGTACAGAATTGTTGGACCTTTAAAAGCACTCTGTCCGTCCCTCGACCTTTTGGCAGGCTCACATTTCTCCCTGGACATTTTCCTTTCACCTTCCAGCTCGTCCCTGAACTGAATCAAAGCGGTTTCAAAGAGAAATGTGGAAAATGACAACAAAAGACAGCATCTGCAGCCAGAAGGTCACCTGCCTCCTGTCCTGTACTGCTCCACTGCTGACCGCGGCTACAATCCGTCCACGTTATATCTCAGGGTCCACTGATCGGCTTTTTCAGCCGAGGCCCCTGAACTATGGAATGAGCTACTTCCACAGGTCAAAATGGCCCCCACCGTCCTTTTAGAGGGCCGTGTGGTCTTCTGTTGTTGCCTTTGAATTGTTCCTGAACCATTCGTTTGTGTGTTTTTTATGCTTTTATCTGAGTTTTATTCCTTGCGCAGCACTTTGTAAACCTGGACTTTAAAATATGCTATATAATTAAAAATGGATCCGATTGGATTATTAGTGTGCATATTAGTAGCATATTGCCTCTTCATCAGTCATAATAAAGCACTTATTAATGCCTTACAACAACTACTAGGCCAATAACTAAGAGTTTTCCTTCAAAAACCTCCTAATTACTGCTTATTGATGTTAAATAAGGAAGTTCTTGTACATGCTTTGCTCTGTATGAGCCTCATAAGGACGTCGCGCTGCAAACATAATCTTTCCCCTTTAATGATACTTAATATTCTCATGTAACAAAACACAAGCTCTCATAAAGCTCTTCGGAGAACACTTCCTCTTAAAACACCTCTAACCCCTAACATGCACTTCCTGTGCTCTGCTTCCTCTATCACCTTACAACTCACTTGTCTTGATGGCGCCATTTTGTTAACTCTTACTTCTTCCCCTAGGTATTTACCCCATTGACGCAATTCACTCCAATAGATCTTACAAGTCGTATTGCTGGTCGTATTAGTCTCTATAATGTTACACGTAGATCTGTTACTTTACTGATGTTAGTATGATGTTCCTTAAATGGAAATAATTTAGTTGCGCATTAAAAACTCAATGTTTTCTCCAGGACTGTTTGATGAATTTTTCCAGAACCTGTTCAAGACTCATAAGTGAAATACAGTGGCTTAACTGCAGGTTTTCCAGGACTCATGGGAGCCCTGATAACACTCACCTGGCTGTGGAGCCGCTCTCGGACGACTCCGCCTGCAGCAGCGACTCCGACGCCTCAGAGGCAGCCGGTTCAGGGTCCGGCTTCCGGATCAAGAAGAAGAGGAAGCAACCCACCAGACTGATCACGGTGAGGGAGATGAACACCGTCTGACGGTCCTTGTCTGAGACACACAACATGAGTCACATGCTTAAAATGAAACTTCACATGAGAAGTCTGCATGGGAACTGAACTCTGTGACGCATACGTGTGAGGGAGAGATTTTCTTAAGCACAGCTTCCTTCCTACCTGTTATGTGAGTGTGTCCATGCCAGGCAAAGTATATGTAAATGTTTCCAAAGAATAAGCTGCAGAGAGATGAGGGATGTTAAAAACAATCCAAACAACACAGTTCTCCATTAAGTTGGCCCAAAACAGAAGCTTCACCTGAACTGCAGCAGTGCCCAAAATATGCCGCTATTTCTTCCAATTGTGTTTTCAGTGGAGTTGATGGCAAGAACGTTCCCCTGAGCAGTCCACAAGACTAAAACACAAAGAGGAAAGATTGGAAACGTGGAGGAGACGTATTCCCTGGGTAGAAATCAGTCCACTAGATAATGTCTGTTTACCTGCTGCTCCTATTCCAACCAACACAGACGCAGTGTAGAAGCTCCACGTGTACGGGTAAATGAACATAGCAATGTAGCCGCTGCACAAGACAACATTAGGAGACATTAGAAGCCTGAATTTGGGTTAAAAAGATGGGGCAGGAGGTGTGTTAGTGAGTGCTGGTTTACCTGTACAAAAGCCCACTAAAAAACATTGACAGCTGCGGTCCGATGACCGTTACTACTGACGGGGCGATCAGGTTGGATGCAGAGAAAACGCCATAGATGATGGCCATGCTGCAAGAGACAGATAGCGGGACAGTTAATGGGTGCAGTAATGGACAATGTGTACACTAGTGGTTCTCAAACTTCGGGGGCGTAGGGCCACTTCAGGGGGGTCGTGGAAGAAGGATGAATATGATTCATGTGGTGAAAGAAAAATAAACAAAAACGCTCCGATGCCAACAAGGTTATTTTGCTAACCTGAATCGTCTAAAAAATTAAATCCACTTTTGCTCGGGTTGGGGGGCATAAACTTTTGAGAACCACTGGTGTACACTATCCAGCCCGTGGACAACTTCCTACAACTGGTGCATTTTTTGGGAGGGTTTCTTTTTAAGACTTCGTTTGCTTGAGTTGCAGGATCCTGTAATATGTTTCCTGCTGAAACCCTGACGGGTGCAAACTGGAGTGAACTTTGCAAGATTAAATAGGCCTGACCATCGGCAGCCATTTGGGGCTCACTGTCTGGGTTCAGACTCTTGCCAACATGTGGACAGCATTTTCCTAAAATAGTTAACCTAAGATTTAATTATCCTCCAAGGACTTTGGAGTGCAACAGATTTGATTACAGACTGAGCCACGGGGTCCGCATCAATGAATGAATCTACAGCATTATGTGCTCAGGCTAACAATTGCATAGTCTATATATTGTGTACTGGGGCATCAGATAGAAAACAGGCTGTAAAGGATACAAACAGTTTACCTTGTGTACCCGCTACCGTGGAACTCAGTGCTGTTGAAGCTCTTGATAACTGTTTGCTGTAAAGATGAAGAAAGAGGCTGATCGGTATATTATCTGAAGTTACATGCGATCAATCTGGAATGTGCCTCAGTAAATCCAACCTACCTCTATATTACCGCATGTTTGGAAAGCAGTGAACATGAACATAAAGCCGAAGCCTAGGATAATGATGTTAACCAGCTTTTTCCCTTCTGGAGTCATTTTGCAGGATTTTGGTAAATTCCTTGAGGAAGTTAATACAAAAAAAATCTACTGGAGTGAACAGCACATCTGAGAATAGAAGAAGAGAAGTGGAAATCAGAAGTGTGTGTGATATTCAAGCATCATTAATGCACACACTGCAACATTCATTGAAAAATAGCTTATGCTTCCTCTTTTTATAACCAAACTTAATTCAATAATTTGTTGTTTTAACACAAACGCGTACAAAGTTAAAAGACTATGACAAGTCACAAATCCTTCCCGAGATTTATGCTTTCACATCATACATTATCACTTCGGCATACAATAGATCTACACAACAGCAACTTTATTTAGATAAAATTATATTTTTTGTAACTGTTTCCCACCGCACGCCGCTACCAGTCCAGGCATGTTTTGGTGGATGACAGCCTAGAAATGACGGTCTAGAGAGTTAGCCTGCCTTAAAATAAGTGCTGTTTGGTTAATGAATTGTATGCCGAATTATAAATTAGATGATTTGGATTGCCATAAGACGTAAACATGTGCAAATATGAAGTCTTCCTATAAGCAAAGAGGCATTTAACTGATGGATTAAACCGAAGAAAGAGGAAAAGATCAACACAATGACAAGAGACATGTGTGTCTTTCCTTTTGTGTAACGTCAAGCTTAAGAAAACAACTGTAGGATTGAAAAGCAAAATAAAACAACTTACCAACGATGCTGAGGCAGTTTAGCTAACCCTCTTTGTGCCGTCTCGGTGTGTTACAGTAACAGAGTTAGCTCTCTGACGGACGTCGGGTCTCTTTAGCCATTTATCTTCTCCGTGCGGTTCCTAAACTAACTTTAACATGATGGTTTCCGTCTTGTAAAACAGATTCTCCGGACTAACTTTCACAGCACCGGTAAACAGGACTTAACCGAAACTAGACAGGGTTGTCATGTGAATGAATCAGCTGACTGTGACCAGCTAGCAATAAATCATCGATCTACAAACGCTCAGCTCAGCGGAAACTCACTGACAGCGAATCTGATTAAACCCATCCAGTTTAGTTTAAATCTGTTCATGGGAACTACATTCTACTTCCGGGCTCTTTTAAAAAAAAGATTTTTTGGTAATTTACTTCATTTAAAGGCAGTAACACATTCTAAAATACGTTTGTTAGTTTGATAATAACACTATATTTATTCTAAATAGTGTATTGCATAAGTGTTTCATATTTTTTAAGCTAACACTACAAGTAAAGCTACTTCCGGTCCAAAATAAGACAATGGCTGAGGTCGAAAAGTAAGAAAAAAAATCTCCTTCACTAACCACCTTTCCTTGACATCAATGGAAAACATCATGAGGTGAAGGAAAGATGTGAAGGACTTAGGAAAAGAGGATCTCGGGGCTCAGAGAATCCGACGGCGGATGTTACTGACGTGACCTGCAGTGACGAAACTACAATGTTCTGAAGATGGACTACAAAAAAGGTTGGAAACACCCAAGTGGAAACACAAACAGTCAAAACTGACAACACACCAATCAGAAGCTTCAACAGATAGATAAAAGGGCCGGAGTCAGTTCATCCAGTTTTGGAACAATGGATCCAGAGAAACCTGAAGTAAGAGGTGTAGGACACCAGAGAGGAGGAGGAAGAGCAGTGTGGAGAGGAGGAAGAGGTGAAGGAAGAGGAACAGTAGGAGTTGACGGAGGAGATGGGATAGGAGGAATATGAGGAGGGAGGAGGAGGAGGCGTGTGGAGAACAAGAATCTCTGGTCTGTCAGACCAAAGACAGGACGCCGTGGCGGTCAGCGTTGATAATGTGGGCAGGTCGCCACAAATAGATGAATGTGTGGAAGACAAAGAAATAATACATTAGATTTAGGCTACTCTAGAGGTCATCCAGCCTTCAGTAAGGCAAGGGCGTCAGCATTTGTGACTGAAGTAATGATAGTGCTGAAGGCTGGTGATACATAACACGAACCTACACGCTGCAACATTATCCTCACTTTGATCACTTTACATGACCAGACTTTACATGACCAGTAACACAGCTCGCATGTTGCAGTTATTGTTGACAGTTCAAGACATATGCATCTTAGAGAGTTATGGCAAAGGAGAGAAAAGGCTTAACTGTCTGTGATTTTTATTAAAACGGTGTTGAAACAGCATCAGATTACAGCAAAGCCAAAAGAAGACAAACCAAAAGAAAGAAGGAAATTGTGAGAGTCTTATTCAAGAATCATAATGTGCGTCTGTATTGCAGGGATTTTGCTAAATGTGGTTGATGGATTTTATTGTTTGAGTTTGAGAACGTGCACCGCTTTAAATGTTGCCACCGCAAGGAATTGTGGGACGTATTTATCTCCTTTCCTTTCATAAAGGATGGTCCGGTCTACCCTATGCTAAAGGAGATATGAAAGGAAGCATTGAGGCACCTTTACTAAGCTTTTAGAGAATTCGACCAGCTCCCATCATGGCTGCCACTGAAATACTTCCGGTTCACTTCACTCAGTGAGGAACCTTCCTGAGCAAAAAACAAGACTTTTCGGCCACAGCCAACACCTGAATACAAAAAAACTATTAATACATGCATTCAAACTAATGAAACAGTGCCAAATAATACCTCCCCGCACAGTAAATAAAATAAAAAGCGTTTTGTTTTGTTTGCGTGTTGGTGTTTTTATTGTCAAAACGCAGTTAAAGTAAATCCACCATGGAAACAGCAAGAAGGGTCAAAACAATCTTTGCAGATGAATTTAAATCTATGGCAGAGGAAATTACTATTGTGAATTTTAATGTATGTCCATCAATATGTCATCCAGCCACATGGTTGATCTCTACAGAAGCCCTAAGCGGCCATCGATTCAAAAAAAATGTTTTACTCCATTTTTTCGTGATAACGGCATAATTTTCTCGTGATCTCGATATATCAAACCAAAGCTAAATACACGGGTCGGCAGGAGCATTTCTTTAGGAGAATTTCAGATAGGTGTCACTGGCTGGCCTAGTTGTAGAGCACTGCACTCATAATCCAAGGTTTGTGTTTAAATCCTGCTCTCAATGGATTTTTTTTCTTTTTTTGTGTGTTTTTTACTATCCTCTTCAGAAAAGTTGTTATTAAGAGATTCATTGGTCTTAAGCGAGGATCAAACTCATAACCCTGAAAACCATACTGAAATTATCTTTAAGAAATCTTTTATTATCTTGAGCTTATTATGGGAAAACTGAGTAAAAATTAACTGGAGAAACTGTTTTTTAATCTGTGTACTGTGTACTGTGGATAGCTGGAACAAAATGAATAATCTGATGGAATACGTACAGAGTACTGGATAACCTAAAAGGATATAGTCAAGTGTTATTGGCATTTTTGATTTACAAACTTTATTCATCATTACAACAACAGCCAGACAAATACAGGATACACAACACAATATCAGAGAGCCAGTACATACCATATAAATACATACACGAAAAGGACGAACATAAACAAACTCTCTGATCCTCATCGGAGAGCTTACAACTGTAGAAAAAGTGAAGAAATGAACAAATTCAGGATACAAAAGGGGTAAATTCATTCTACAGTGACAATAGATGAAGGATAAAGTAATAGTGTTATGGTATCAAAGAAGCTCATCAAATACATTTTATAAATCTGTTGCTTCTCTTATTGTTTCTCAGGGAAAGGGGATTTGTGAAGTGACTTAAACTCGGCCAAAAATAGAGGGGATGAGATCCTAAGAATGTCTGCTTATGAATGAAAATAATTAATTAATTAATCACATTAATCACGAAATTAGAGACTTGGCCTTACCGTTGTCATAGTAATATTACATCCTTAGAAGAAAAAATGAGAGAAAACGTGAACAACAAACGGCGGAGGAAGAAATAGTGAATCCACCAGGCGGCGCCAGTGCGGCAAACAGGAAGCGGGGCAGCGTCTAATCCCGTAGAAGAGGAAGAAGTTTACCTCGCTGGTTTTCGGAGCAGTCGCAGTCGTTTCAGGCGAGGCGGGTTTGTGCGGGAAGCAGCCACGCATCTTTTACGATTGTGCAGCCCTTTCAAACCCCATACAGGCAAGACGATTCGGTTTGAATTACCCCCTCGCGTTTGTGTGCGGACTTGTGAAGGCAGGTAGGCTCCGTCGTAGCCGCGATATAAACTGTTTTCAGGAAGGCTGCAAGGCCTCGCGGGAGAATGGCCATGAATTACGGTAGGCCTCCGCCAGACGTCGACGGCATGACTTCCCTCAAAGTGGACAACTTAACGTACCGAACCTCGCCCGAGACCCTGAGACGCGTGTTCGAGAAGTACGGCCGGGTCGGGGACGTGTACATCCCCCGGGACCGCTACACGAAGGAGAGCCGCGGATTCGCGTTTGTGCGCTTCCACGACAAAAGGGACGCCGAGGACGCGATGGACGCCATGGACGGCGCGCTCCTCGATGGGCGGGAGCTGCGGGTCCAGATGGCCCGGTACGGAAGACCCCCGGATTCCCACCACGGGAGCGGCGGCGGCGGCGGTGGTGGAGGGCGGCGAGGAGGGCCAACAAGGAGGCATGGCGGCCATGGACGCCGAAGCAGAAGGTAAGATAAGCTCGTTATAGCTACCTGGATAGCCCTTTTTAGCTGTAACGTAACGGACGTGATCACTCGCCAGACTCCATTCAAAAATTTGCCTATTCTAGGTGGCCTCGGTCTATTGAGCAATACACATTACACAAGTAGCTTTTACGATCCTGCACAGATCCAGTACAGCAAACAAAGCTTTTCGGCGTGGTGTGAGTATGTTAACACAACTTTAACATCTCAGATTTCCCCCGTTCTTAACCAGACCTAACCGGGAAAACACGAGGTTCCATAACTTTAAATGAGAACTTTTCTTGCAGTAATTTTGTTACGTTTCAGCCTCTTCCTGTTTTGGATCGCGGCTGCTTGTTTCTATAAGACTTTTTCAATAACAGAAGCTTTTTTAGTTGGTATTCTTTAGGATATAGTATCTTTAATCCTTTAATTCAAAAACACATTTAATGTGTGTGTGTGTAATATATATAATTTATATTTATTTTTCTGGTTCAAAATAGTCCATTCATGGCTGCTATTGCAGGTCATATTTTCCTCAGTTCAGTGCTGCTGCTTTTGATATTTTCAATGATAACTCAACGCACTGAATGTATTCAGCTCTTCCCCCAGTCCGAGACACAGAAGACGCAGCCGATCCCGCAGCAGGAGCCGCTCTCGTTCCCGAAGCCGGTCCCGCTACAGCAGATCCAGGTCCCGGTCCTACTCCCGATCAAAGTCTCATTCTCCCAGGAACAAGAAGGCCGCTGCCAAGTCCCCATCTCGTTCCAGATCTAGATCCAGGGGCCAGTCCAAATCCAAGTCAAAGTCTAAATCCAAATCCAAGTCCAAGTCCAGATCCAGAAGCCGCACCCCTTCCTCCAAAAGAGGGTCCCGGTCGATGTCTAAAAGCCCACCGAAGACGGCGGCAGAAAATGGAGGCGAAACCCCGTAGAGCTCAGCATGTCAGCAGGAGGTGAGTTGTTGCTGTTGCACAGGCAGTAAGAACTTTGTTGTTTCCAGTGTCTGTTGTGTTTCTGTTAGTCCCACGGTGAGACATGGTCTAGTTTAAATTTGGCTGTAGCTGGTAAGTTTACTCCCTTAAGCAGCCAATTCAGAAGGTATTCATCATTATGAAGATTATTTTAGAGCTGGACCAGTTGGCTCTTAAAACTAAAATCTTGGTTTACTCATTAACAAATCTATTTTTTATTATCCCCTGTAAAGATACACAGTGGGAGTCTTTTCCCCTCCCTGCAAACTTGAACTGCAACACAATCTCACTCCCATCTCGTCACATGTGGACGCTTGGTCAAGACCCCTTGGCGTCACTTATTGACAACATGGGTACCCCTTTAGCGTTGTTTTGGATGTGTAGAGCTCCGTGGTCGAGTTAGCAACAATAAATATGCAACTTTTTAAAAAGGTCTTCTAGTTAACATTGGGGAAAAAGGTTTAGGCGCCACAAAGTTTTTGGTTAGGTTTAGGCGCCACAAAGTTTTTGGTTAGGTTTAGGCGCCACAAAGTTTTTGGTTAGGTTTAGGGGTAAGATAAAAAAGCATAGAGTTTTTTTCACACTGGAAACGATCACTGAAACCACGCTACACCAGTGATGCACTATGACTCTAAGGGGCTTCCCGGTGCGTCCATGTGTGAGGACTCAGGAGTGAGAACGATTTGCATAGTTTCATTTTCTGTCATACAAGCTCATAATTTTCACTGAATACTAAGAAGTGTTTTTTTAAGAGAACAGTTCTGACGGTAAACCCAATCTGGAATTTTCTCCTTCCCAAGCTGCGGCATCCTGTTTGCTAAAGTGGAGTTTGAGCAGAGCTGAGGCAGTATGAGCAGTTAGAAGGTGTGTGGTGAGCTGCCCACGGGCCGCCTGCTGCTGGTGAGGGTTTCTGTGCGGCAGGGTGGAGGCAGTCAGAGTTGGGGTTTGGTGTTGAGGTACGTCTGTCTGTCCGCCCACTGGACATAAAGCTGTCCTCCAGGACGGGGGGCGCTGAGGTTTGTCCAACTCTACTCCCATGTCAGTCCCACTTTGTTTGTTCCTATTTTTGTACCACATTTTCAATACGTCTCCAATTAAAACATTTTTTTTTTTTTAAGAATTTAGTGAAGGCCGTCATCAGATAGGCCTTAAGAGTAAATTAATGCTGTTAGTCGGTGTGTAACATGTCGATAGGAGTTCCTGGAAAGGCGCCAGCCTCGTGAAGCAATTCAGTAGTTTTACTGATTGTGGTCTGGCACACATCAATTATTTACCAAAGCTCAAGTCGTTTTAAATTCCCCGCCTTTGTCATCTTTTGAATTATCTAAATTGCTTCCTGATCAATGATTATTGCAGCTACAGGGCTCAGTTATTCAGTGTCCTGATTTAAATCTTGTAGTGAAACATGGGCTTGTGAGTCGGGCTGCACTCTTATCTTTATCAATTTAATCTGCTGATTTATGTTTGTTTAATCGTTTGGTCTCTCAGAAAATACTGAAAATGCCCATCACAAGTGTCCATAGCCCAAGATGTCTTTGATTTGTCCCCAAATCACAGTTATTTACTTTACAACCTGAAAAAGATTTGAAAAGCTGAGAAACTCTGTGACCTACACTGAACATTTACTCCTCGCTCGCTTTCAGCGTCACTTCCTGCCGCTCGCTCTGTCATTCGCTTGCTGACTCCGCTGCTCTGATAACGGCACCCGTCACGTAGATGTCCTGATGAAAGAGGAGAGGAAGCTAGCAAAGCGCAATTTAACATATTTACAGTACAAACCTTGTCAGTGAAATATGTAGCGTTCAATAATCGTAATCCAGATGAAATGTTCAATTAATCGTGATTTAGATTTTTGGTGAAATCGTCCGGCCCTAGCGGCTATTAAGTTTTATGGAATAAATGTTAAAACTTCTCTGCAGTGGAGGACCTTTTGTTGCACATGCACCCCCACTATAATTTTCTGCCTTCTAATGAAGGCACAAAATGCACAAATAATACCGATTGAAAGCGAATAAAATGCATGGCTTAAAAAAACAAGTGGTGTCCGGTGTGATTACAGCCAGAAGTTGAAATTAGGATATGAGTTAATTCTAATAATCAATTTCTTTGGATCTAAATGTTACATTAAAATCAGTTTTAATTGAAGCCAGCTGAGTGGTATCAGTCCGAGGCGACATAATGTGTTCTGGGGGGGATTTGCAAAGCCCGTTTACCAAGTAATGAAAAGATCCTAACTGTTCCTCTTTTGACAGTTTCCAGGTGAAGACTTCAGAACATCATGTTCCAGACTGGATCCCACGCGAGCAACAGTGTCCTGCTGTCAAAGGTTATTATTGTGTCTTCCATGCTTTGCTTTGTTTTAATTAATTTGGCCACAGAAGGGCTTTTTTTTTTTTTTTTTTTTGTTCCATTTCACTGATGTGCTGTGATTTTTATTTGTTCTTCATGAGATGTTTATGATTTTAATAATCCGGTCAATCTGTTCTGACCTGCTTTTTGTAACGATCACACGGGATAATAAACATATATAAAGTAATGTTCACGTTTAGATTGCTCCCCTTTTTAAGTTCTTCTCCACAAGGCCTGCATCAAGACGCGAGAGAACGCGGTCTGGCTTTCTTTGGCTTTGCTAAACCTCACATTGATCCTGAATAATCGATGGCACACGACTTAAACAATTATCAAAGTAGTGACTGATGATTATCTTGTGATGCTAATAAATAAATCATTAGACTGACTGAGGTCTTGTTGATACCAGTACTGCTTTATGGTTATTTGTGTTATTGTCCATGTCACGCTGTATCCTGGTGATTTGAAGCCAAAGTTTGCCGGCTAACCGATTTAATCTCGCTTCATGATACAGGCCTGTGGCGTTAACACACAAAGTCAGGACAGTTGGACACATCAGGGCTTTTTGTTTGTTCAGCATGAGATTTAAAAAAACAAAAAAAAAACATCCACACCAGCTTTTTACCAACTTTGCTCATATTACCGTTATCGCATAATGAACATTTTGTTAAACTGAAGTAATCCCTCAGACGTCATGTTATCTGCCTCCTTGCAGTCTTTATAATTCCCGCAGCTCAGGGTGTCTTTTTGTTGGACGGGGGACAGCAGATCATTTTAACTCCTGTGTCTAAACATGTTCAGTGTACCTGCATATGGACCCGTGATGTAACAGTCAGAGGATTTTAAGGCATCTGCTTGAATGTTTAATTTTACAGGACTCTGGTGTTTTTGTTCCTTATGAATATTATTTTTTATCCTAATCCTGCTTGTATTTTTTTATTTTTTTGTGCACTAGGCGCAGTTGTGTAGCAGTTGAGTATTGCTGGTTAGCTGTTAAGGTGGCGCGTTGCTCTGCTGAGTGCTTGGATGTGTCCAGTATTCTCCAGATTGCTCCTGTGACTACCAGTGGTACGCTTGCTACAGTCTCACCCTTTGTACAATGCCCCCCACCCCCCACCCTTCATTAAAGATTTTGATGTTTTGTCTATAAATGTCTCTTCTTTTTATTGCTCAGTTTAGTTTTTTTGTTTGTGTGTATTTACATTCATACAGCAAGGGCGTCACTTTGTGTTGAAAGGTGGTGGGGACGCATTAGCGGTGTGCAGATTACACTTTTCGCTCACGATGCTCAATATTCAGGTCACGAGAACAAGACCAGATATTTCAATACCATTTCAGAATAAATAATGCAGAAATGTATGAGTGGGTGGTCTGAGGGTCCTTCCCCGGTAGATGTTGAGCATTAAACACGTTATTTTCTGCATTCTGGTGAAATTTTCTGCACCAATTTCTGGTGGAATGTCTATTTATGTAAAAGGAAACACAAAAGTCAGGTGACTTTTCAAAATATTAGAAGATAATGAAATATAATGCAGTAATTGTTTTTGGTTAGCTTTTGTAACTTTATTTGTACAATGCACATTTGTTTTATATTTAAATTGTACTGCATGTTTTCTTAGTGTGCAAATAAACCTTTTATCAAAGCAGTTTTTATTTGTCACTGAACTTTTATTAGAGCAAGCTTTTTTTTATTTTTTTTCCCCAGAACCGTGTTAACAAATTAGGCTTTTAAAAAGTGATGGGGACGTGTGTGTGAATGGCTCTTGTGCAGACGGGTGATGAAATACAGTAATAGGGCAGTAGTACAATACAAGGTTGTACATGGCGACTACACGCTTCAAAATAACTGTCAGGTGTCGTTTACACCACTTTTTATTTTTATTTTTAATGGCTGATTTTGTCCCCATCACTCCTTAAAAGCATAATTGGTTAACAATGTTCTGAAAAATTTGAGCTCAATTAGCAAACAACTACCCAGGTGAAAACAAAGTGTCATCACACACCAATCAGAAGAGTCAATAGTAACCGTAGATAAGAAGGGCCACGGTCAGTTCACCCTGTGTTGGAACAATGGATCCAGCTGACAGGAGGAGATTCTCTGGCCTGTCGCAGACCAAAGACGTGATGCCGCAGCACAATAATGTTTTTGTTGTTTGGTGTGTTGTGCTGTTTAGGACATGAAGGAATAAAAATGTGCAAATGTTTACATTAGTTGTGTCTTTTGTTGTGTAAATCATGTGAAAAGGTTTTTGAGGTGAGAACCACAAGCAACATTCCTCAGAACCGGTTTATGTGGTGTTTTGAATTTATCTCAGCAGTGTGTAAGATTGTGCTGTTGTGTGTCTGGGGGCAAATATGAAATGGTTTTCAGTGGAGTGTTTCATTTTGACCTGAAAATATAAAGTTTTGGAGGTAATTGGGTGAGAATTTATGCACTTGTGTTTAGAGTTTTGAGAAAAAGAGACAGTATCTCAAGAAATGTGTTTATGGAAGTGAGAAAATCTAATATGACACATAAAGGAGTCGTTACAGAGGGTTCTTCAGCAAGGTCAAACGTTAAAACGTATCCTGGGTCAATACAGACAAGTCTTAATCAAACATTGATGTTTCCACAGTGATGACCCACTTTCCTCTGCTGTTAAGATCTGTATGCTTTATGTATGCTTTTTATTTTTTTTTATGTTTAGGTGAAGCCAAATCAGAAAGTCAAATAAAAAAACAGTAAAATAAAATTTTTAAAAAAGAGGAACAAACTAAATATATCTTACATTAAAAATATGTTAAACAAAAAACAATTATTAAAATAACAAACAATAATAATGTGATAATATCACAGTATTTGTTTTATAAACAATTTTTTTATATAAGTCTGAGTTTCCACTGATTGTTCTCAGTTTGAAGACACAATTTTTGTTGCAATTATTTGGTATTTGTGCATGTGTTTTTCTCATCAAGTTTTGTATTGAGGATGTGATGGACCGGCGTCACTATGGTTAAGTACACGCTGTGCCTGCCATACCAACGAGTCTTTGGCATTGCAGTCAAGTTGCATGTTTGGTATCCTGTAGACCCGGGTTCAAAGTCCTCTTGCCTTTCCGTCACAGAGGACATGAGGTGCACCTCTGAGTCTCTGCTCTGTCTGTGGCGACCCTTCTCTATGGCCAGGCTGTGTTCACTCTGTATATAATCAACGTGTTTCTCAGTTTAGGACATTTATTTTTTACTCCGCTGTCTTACACTCACACAACTTATTAATTACACAGGTCAACCGGTTTATGAAAGGTTCCTCATACCACAGAGGGGTTGCTAACCAGTTTTGATAAGACCAGCTGAACTGCTTTCTGCTGAGGTGAGCATAAGATTCAAGCTCAAGTAGGTCAGAGAGGTTTTCTGATATAACTAGTGGAGATCAGCTGGACTGCTGAGCGGGTGATATGATACCACCTAAGTAAGGCCAGCTAACGTAGCTCAGCCCAAGCAGGTTAAGCTGCTGAGCATCTGCTCTTTGCTCTGGTGAGTAAACAGCAGCTTACAGGCAGGTCAGGTGACGCAGTACGTTTATGACTGCACGCCCGCTGCAGGGCCTAATGACGGGTCAGCATGGTTAACATGAGTACTGGGCTCCCGCAGGACTGCTGACCCAACGTGTGTCACATTTCGCTCTGTATTGATAACACGCAGCACCTCAGACACCTACAAATCTATACGTAGAGAAGCTCACCAAACTACACTTTTTAACTTGTGAATTTGTAAACTGTGGGTTACGTCTGGATTACAATGACTGGCTTTGTTTTAATTGTTAGCAATATTTCTGGCATTTGATGCCCATATTAGTCTACTTGTTCAGTATACCCCAAGGTTTTATGTTAGAAATGTAGCGTGTGGGTCCCCAGCAGTTAGATACTGCTGGATGCTAACTTGCAGATGCTGGGCAATTACAATAATTAGCATTCATTAGAATAATCACCTATATGGAGAACATTTCTTTGCTGCTATGTTGGAGCGGTTTTGGAGGCAACCGTACATCTCCCTCCTGGTGGTCTAATTTTTGAGAAAATTCTGTTGTTTTAATAGTTTTAGAGGACGATTGAATCGATTGGGCTAGACAGATAATGTATTTGAAATAAATCACTCTAAATCTGTTATAAATTGAAGGATATTTATGAACACAATTATCCAAATGATGCAGAACATGTACATTTTAATTACCAGACCATTACACTCACAATTGGGTATTTAAGGTAACAAAGGCTAGTACCATACCAAATAATATGACAATATAAATATAGTATCCTCACAAATAAGAGAGAAAGGAGCATAATGCAAATAAAAACTTTTAACAGGTTGAACACATGAGTAGAACTTTATTTATCTTGTCTTTTTGTCGGTTTTCACTTTATGCATCTTTGTACTTGTATTTGCATCTTCTCTCTATATAAATGAACTTACTTGCTTAAATTCATGTATGTCAGAGTATATGTATCTGTATGTGAATGTCTTTGTGTAGATATACCTTTTTATAATAGTTTAACTTGCAAAAAGTTAAAAGATACAAAACCCTCCAGTTTCTGTCTCTCATCTCCTAATTTTCCAATGATACATGTACGCAGAGTGCGGTGCATCACGAGTTCGCTGATACATTTTAAAACCTACAATTTTGGAGTCGATAATCCGTGAAATCCAAGTAGCCAGTACACAGAAATAGACCTTGTGTAAAGACTCAGATAAAGCAGATAGACAAACAAATACTAACTTGGGCATGTACAAATACTGCATGGCTAATGAGGCAAGTAGGAACAGGTGAGTTACGCAGTCAGGTGATGGGGAACGGCAGGAACAGGGTTGTTGCAGGTCAGGAGGGAGTGTCGTTACGTCTGAAACTGATTCTCGTTCACTTCCCTGAAACCCTGCCTGAGAAGTTGAAGGGCTGAAAGTACACAGAGCCCAGCCTCTCTCCTCAGCCTGACTGAAGTATCAAAATAGTGTTTGAAAGAAATAATTACAACATCAAAATACATGAAAATAAAATAAAGATGAGGTCATTCTTGTAGAAAATTAGATAAACAATGTGATTTAAAGGTGGTAAAAGGAGCAGCTTATAGAAATGTTCAGTAAAAACACAACAGTCAGGTAAATGTACATGAAGTATATTATTATATATGTCACAATGTGGATAATTTAAAGTTTAGTCTTCAGCTCTTTTTGAAAGCTGAAACAGACAAAGATTTTATAGTAAATGTAAATATTCCGTATTTGTATAGCGCCTTTCTAGTCTTTTTGACCACTCAAAACGCTTTTACACTACATCTGCATTCACCATTCACTCACATTTATACACTGAGCCTAAGTGCTCAAACAGAAACTAACATTAAGTAAGCTTCAGATGACTGTATCTGTGGAAGATAAAACGACACGTGTAACTTTCCTCTGTAAAATCTGTAGTTTCACTTGGTAACTTTGAAATATATTGCACCAAATGACATCACAGTAATGTGGGTGAGGCTCAAATAAAGACTTGTATGAAGTTATGAGTGCTTTGAATAGAAGAAAAAGTCTTATTTGGCCATTTCCCCCCCAACAGTTCATCAAATTGAACCTTAAAGTTTATAAACTCATCAATATATACCAAGAGGAATTGAGTGGACTTCACTATTTCAATAGCTTGACCATTTATTTTGATACAAACATGGTCGATTACTATTAATTTGTTTTATTTATAAGCTGGATCAATCCTTAAGGAATAGCTTTAGATACAACATTGTATTGCCTAAAAAAGAAAACTGTGCTTTGTTATAAAGTTCTAAAAATATATATAGCCTATGATATTTAGGTATGTACGTAGGTAGGTTTTCTTTTGTCACAATACAACAAGCTGTAGAGTGAAATTGAGTTTTGTAACTCCCTTCTGCTACATAGCCACAGCCATCCATCCATTTTCAACCGCATATCGTGCGTACAGGGTCGCGTGGGGCTGGAGCCAATCCCAGCTTGCATCGGGCAAAAGGAGGGTTACACCCCACTCAGTTATGAAAAATGGTAACAGAAATAAACTATCGTCACTGGAGCAGTGCTGAGGATGAATTAGAGTGTCTAATAGCTTGGGGGGGGGAAGCTGTAGCCTATATTTCTTTTGGAACCAAATTTTCCTGTTTCCTATTTTATTGGATCTTGAATTAATCTCTTACACCATCTTTAGACAAAAACAAAAGTACATAAAATAACTCAATATAATAGGAGATAACTATAAAAAAGAATAAAGGGTTATCGTGTAACAAAGAACAGAAAAACATTTAACTATTTACATATTGTGACTGTTTTATTATTCTTTAGTTTCATTATAATGTTTGATTTCTAAGTTAAAATGTGGTTTCTTCTTTGGCCATTTGTACTTGTGAATGTAATATTTTCTATATAAAATTAAGAGTTTTACGAGAAATGATCCTGTTACTAATTGAACCACGTTATTATGACGTGACGTCAACCTTTCCAGCAAAGTTGAGAAATATGGGGCGTGGCTTCCTTTTCTTACGGCAACAACGCGCTGACGTATGTGTCGGGGCGGAGCTATAAAGCCTTGTTTTTCCATCCTTTCAGCTTGACCGTCTCCATTTTGTGAGAGCAGCCGAAGCAGAGCGTCGTCCTCCCG